ATCATAATGGTTCAAAAAGGCCTCTTCATCAACAACGAAGTATATCAACCCCAAATACACATATGTCCATTCACCCGACTAACCCTCCCAGTACATCAACTCCACCTCCACCTCAACCCTCTACATCCACTCCCCACACGACGAATCTCTAGTTCTAGATGGCATTCAAGTCGCGTCCCTGGCCGACGTAAACACCGCCGTCGCAGCAGCTCGCACCGCATTCGAAGGCGACTGGTCCAAATGGACCGCCCCGCAGCGCATGCAAGTCATGCACCGCTTTGCCGACCTAATCGACAAGCACACCGTGGAGCTCGCTGCGTGGGAGGCAAAATGTATGGGCCAGCCGGTCATGATTACACAGTGGATGTACAAGCTTGCGTCGGATTATTTTAGGTATATGGCGGGGTGGACGGATAAGGTGCCTGGGGAGCAGTGGCCCGAGGTGGATGGGATTTACAAGGTTTGTTTGATTCCTTGATCTTTTTTTTTCTAGAGAGAGGGGACATGCTGATACGGAGTTAGATTGTCGAGTATGAGCCTGTTGGAGTATGTGCGGGTATTGGAGCCTGGAATGGTGCTATGATGTTTTTTGCGCTCAAGGTTGCGCCTGCTATTGCTACTGGGTGTACAATCGTTTACAAGGGGTCGGAAAAGACTCCTATTGGACTCATTCAGGTGGGTGAGCTGGTCAAGGAAGCGGGCTTTCCACCGGGTGTCATCAACATTATTACCGGAGACGGAAAGGTGGGTGCTGCTATGGCCAGCCACATGGACATTGACAAGATCGGTTTTACTGGTTCCGTATTTGCAGGCAAAAAGGTCCAGGAACTCGCGGCTCAGAGGTAAGTTGCTTGGTACGATCAAGTTCACAAAGCCTAATACTGATGTTTCGTCCAGCAATCTCAAGCGTGTCACGCTCGAGCTCGGCGGAAAGTCACCATCCCTCATCTTTGCAGACGCAGACATCGAAAACGCCCTTCAACACCACAGTCAGAACTTTCTCATGAACAGCGGCCAGGCTTGTGTCGCAGCCAGTCGTACCTTTGTGCAAGAAGAAATTCTCGACGACTTCATTGCACAGCTCAAGATACGTTTCGAGCAACTCAGCAACATCATGGGACACCCGGAGCAGCAAGGCATCATGTACGGCCCACTGGCTGATGGCAAGCAATTCGAACGTGTCATGGATTTTATCGAGATCGGCAAGAAAGAGGCGTCACTAGTCACTGGCGGAGTACGAAAAGGGACCAGCGGTTTCTACATTGAGCCGACCATTTTCGTCAACCCTGGCGACGATGCTCGCATCTATCGTGAAGAGATCTTCGGGCCAGTCATCACTATTCGCACGTTCAAGACGGAGGAAGAGGCGATCCGATTGGCAAACGATACAAACTATGGCCTGTCTGCTTGTGTGTTCACAGCCTCTATACCACGGGCACTGCGAATAGCCAAGAAGATTCGGTCAGGCATGGTGAATATCAACACGTCACAGACGGCGGGTCTCGAGGCGCCCATGGGTGGCGCCAAACAGAGTGGGCTTGGGAGAGAGGGCGGAAGGATGGGTGTGATGGGCTATCTGGAGGCCAAGACCATCTGTATAAAGTGAGCATGTCCGTGCGTTTTTCGATGAATGATCAGCTAACGAATATTAGTATGAATGTGTGAGAGGTTGTTGGAGATATGATCTAGGGTGGTGGACTGTTGCATCATTACTGGGTTTAGAAAATGGCGTTGAGTGTCTTTGATGTTGCTGTTAGCATTCAGGTTCAGTAGACTAATTTTGGAATATTACCAATGATCATTTGCAATCCACTTTCTTTTTGCCGCAAAGTGCTAGGGAAGAGACACGTAGACATGGTACGTATGACCCTCATATCTTCAGACGCAGTCTAGATTCTTTCGTGTCTGAAGATCAGAGCAAGGGAATGTCATCACAGCAGCATGGTACCATGGAAACCCTCGACAGCGAATGCCGGGACATTGCCGTGCCGGGGGGTCTTCTTGTTTTTTCCTTCCTGAACGTATCCCTTGGTGGCCTGCAGATATCAAAATCAATAAGTGGAGTTGCTTTTTCAACCGTTTTCGGATGGCGTGTCAGTGTTGGTATTAGCGTACTTGGTGAAGGCTATCCAATGGTTTTTGGTCCATGTTCCTGGCCATCTCCAGCTGCTGAAGCTAAGCATATAGCGCCACTTCACTCTGAAACAGCTGGCAGAGAAGAGGACAAAGAAGGCGCCTATCGTCTCAAGCCATGACGTTGGTACGAACCTAGTATGGGCCAGCTAGAGTGTGAAGGCTGCGCGGGGCGAGCCTAGTGGTGGCTGATGCATCGGACTAATGGTTGAGCTTGGCCCGAGGTGGTGGTTTTGCAAGCAATGTGGACGCAGTGTCACTGCATAGCCTGGCAGAGGAGAGTGGCATGTAGCTGTGAATGGAAGCTGGCCTGGGTAGTGATAAGACGTGGGCACTTTTCGGGAGCACGTGGGCTGGGTTGACTGCATGGTGACAGCAGACAGGGGGAGTGGTGAAGAAAGAACAGGCTAGAGAGAAGCGAATGACGCCCCAACCTCTTCGCGCTCTTCGCACCATACCCGATTGTCGCTCCCGTCCCCGCCGCCTGCATGTATCCCCCAGGCCGTCACACGTCACTGGTGTGAATGCACACAGCTTGCCCTGTCGCATTGGAAGCTGAGTGGTTGGCGCCGAACCGCCAGGGCTCCTGTCCAGCAGAGAGGCTGGGACCGGCCAGCTGCAAAAGCTTGCCTTGGCCATACGGCCTCTCTTGTCCTGGCTGAGGGCGTGCCCAACAATGCATCTTGCACCTTGCATGCTTCTGCTTCGTTCAATTCACCGGCCCCGCTGCAAATCGTCGCAGCTGACCCCGACTGCAACTGCACACTGACATCTCCGTCACAGCTTCACCGCCCGCGACACTATTGCTACTATCATCGCTACTACTATCGCTATTCCAAACAAGATGCTCGCCCTTCGTTGACATGGCCACTCTTTCTCCTGGTGCGTGTGGTGCGGTGCGCATTGGAGCTGTTGGACTATACACACATAGCATAACCTGCTGACCCGGTCGCATCTATAGACGTACGCGATTCTACTCTCAAGTCGCTCAAACTGACCTGCCCCTCCGCCGAGGTCATTCACCCTCCGTCCTCCCAGTCCAAATCCTCCGACGATATGCCTCCCACCGAACAGCAGGGCTATCCCTTCCCAGAAGTAGGCGATGAGTGGTCCGACGAGGAAGTCCTGATCCCCAGGCAAAGACGAAAGACGCAGTACATACCACCATTGATGTTTGAAAAGATCACAGCTACCTCGGCAGAATCATCTTCCGAAGATTCAAGCACCCCATCGCCCCGCCCTCAGCGATCTGGCGGAAAAGTCAGCCCGAACGTGCCCCTCAAGAGCCCGTCACGGCAGAGCGCATCGCGAGGGAACAGCCAGGATGAACTGGTTCAGCGCTTCTACCAACTTACAAAAGAGCGTGATGCGCTGAGGAAGGAGCTGCAGCGGAAGAGCATGGGCGCCAATGGCACTTCGACTAGAGGCTCCAAGCTGTACAGGACAGAAGAAGATACACTGATAGAGGAGCTCTTCGCTCTACGTCACGAGATACGCAACTGGAGTGAAGAGTACTTTAGTGGCCCCATCAGAGCCTCTAACAAGCGACCCTATCTTACCAGAGCGAGAGAGCTCTTTGGGAACCTCACCGACAACTACCACGTCTATCTCAAAGATCCCGAAGACAGGCCTCTCCTTATACAAGCGTACGTATGGATGCGATTACAACAAAAGATTTTCAACAATTGGCAAAAAGGGAGTGGATATGTTTGGGCAGGAAAGTTAGGCGACAAGAAATTACGAGACATTAATGATACGCTGCGAAAGGGTATGGTCTCTTATCTTTTCCCACCCGACATGCGACACTAACAGATGCACAGCCGTCAAGAACGAAGCCGAAGCCGAAGAGTACCACCGATGGCGCTCGCTGACCGTGAATCTCCTCGTCCCACAAGTTGACGGCAAATGGCGCCCTACCTTTGATGCAACACCTGTGTTAAAACAAATATCCCGCTTCTGCAGCCGCATGCGCCACAAGCTACGCCCATGGGCTACCCGCTCCCTCAGCGTAGGCAAGGAGCAACTAGGAACAATCGTCTCGGCCTCCGTAGCCCTCGATCTCAAAATGAAGCGTCAGCGCGCCGACTACCGCTTCGTCACTTTTACCGGCGGCAAGAAAGATCAGTACTGGGGCTACGGTTACTACGACAGCGAAATGGAAGACGTCTATGACGATGACTCAGACGACATGGGCGGTGGCTACGGTAGCAGTGATAATCCCCGAGGCCGAAGAGTTGAGCTGGCACTTGCACCGGCCCTTGAGAGATGCGGAAATGCCAATGGACACGTTTTTGATCAGAGTTTTATGATGGTCAAGGCAGATGTCAGTTGCAAGAGATTGGAGAAACGGAAGAAGCCGCAGCCTAGACCGAGAGGGGGGGGTGGCGGTAGTGTAGTAGGCGGGAGGGGTGCTAATAACCGCTTCAGTGGGTTTTGGGGTCGGTGACCGTACCTTTTTTTTTCCTTGTTCTTTTTTTCCCTTTCCCCTTGCATCTTTCAAAAATTGGTGGGCGATTTGCCCTGCATTTGACACATTGGCTTTGCCTGCCCTTTTTGATCTGCATATTCGAGCCTCTCTTGTGCATTTGCAGTATTATACCCTCGACCGCCTCTCCATACCTGCTGTCTCGGTTTAACCCTGCATCCTAATGACATTTATGAATCATATGTAGTTTTATATGAGATGGTTCCTTACGAAGTCAATTGATTTCTATTCACATCTGAGCATATCTGTCGAGACATCAAGAAGAAATCTGTTAGAGCGACATAGAAGCCAGTATTGAACAAACTGCTAGATTCAAGAGAAATGTTATTACATCTACACTCGTACACCAGGTCATTGCAACACTATTCTCAACTAAAAAAATCTACTCTTCACTCGGCACAACATGAACCTCCCACTTTGCCCCATGCGGCCCCTTAACCGTCTCCCTTGTTGCCCCCTCCAAAAACGGGCCCTTTGCATTCGTCACCGCGCTGCCCAACACACCCTCCTTCTTGCCCGTACGCAAGTACTCCAGAAAAGCCACAGAAGCATCGATATACTCATGGAGCGCCGTCCTACTATCCAGCGTAGTCCCAGACACGAGCTTCATAATCAGCGGCACAATAAGCGGGGCATCGGTACACGAGGGATGCGCGGTACCGCTTAGTGTCATGAACCAGCCTTGCTTAACGCTATCGACAATATTCTTGACGACATTAAAGTGCCAGCCTTGGTCGTAGAATTGTGTTTTCTCTTCTGTCCACTCGCCGCTTTGCATGACGAGGAGCGGGACATCGATGTCTTTGTTGAGGGGACCGGAGCCTTTGCCTGGGTCGAGGGCGATGCCGCCGTTGATGGGCATGGCTTTTGTGCCTGCGGATTTGAGGGCTTGCATGGCGCCTGTTGCACCGTAGGAGTGGCCGCCGACTGTGACGGCTGAGAGATTGAGTCGATTCTTGAAGCCGGGGAGGGCGTTGCGAGGGGAGTCGGGTTTGAGGTTTACGACTGGGGCTTCTCCAGCGTTGAGTTTTGCGAAGAGCTTGATTGTCTCACTGATTTCTGCCTCACGGTAGTTGAGTTGGGCGGCTTTGAGATCGAGCTCAGTCATGGGTGGATTGGCTTCTAGATCCTCGAGTTTCATGTGCCACACTTTTTCTTCTTTTCCGTCTGGATGGTGGATGATAGTACCGGGGCCGCTTCCATCGCGGTGTTCAACAGCAGCGACAACGTATCCGTGACTTGCGATACTGCCAAGGTAGTGCGCATAGCTCTGGCTCATACCGGCCATGCCGTGCGTAAATACCATACAGGGCAAAGCATCAAGCTCGCCGTCGCGCTTCAGCTCCTGATGCTCTTGCTCGGCAGCACGCATCATCTTTTCCAATTCAACATCACTACTGCTCTTCATCCCCAGAACATACCGGGCACTTGACAAGATGGGCGCATCAACCACACCCGGGATGACGGTGCTAGAACCAAACAGCCATAGCGCAGATGTAAAAACTGAAGAGAGTCTAGGAACCCCAGCAAGCCGCGCGTAGCCCTCGCCAATAAGTCCTACAGGCTGCGGAAGCCAAGGTCGAGCCCATGGTCGCTGAGAAGGTGGAGCCCGAGGCAAGGAAGAAGGATAGTACAAGGTGATGGCTAGCGTATTCAATTCAAAAGCCTTGTCGCCGGTGGCTTTGAGAATCGCATCATGTACGACTCTTTTCTCGACTGGGGTCTCGACATCCAATATTCCCACCTCGTAGGGACCAGTATATGGTGGGAGCGGTGATATAATAGGTGTTAGGAGGAAGATAAATGTAACAAACAGGAAGCCCGCGGATGTGAGCACGAGCAGTTTTCGCGGCCCGAGGCGGCCTATCCGGAAGACCATGGTGATGGATTGTTGGAGTCGATTTCTAATCTAGGTCTTGAGATGGATGGGGCTCATGCCTGGGCTTTTGAAAGGAATGGCATGAGGTGGGTTGGCAGTGGTGGTGGCAAAGGATACGGATGACGTCGTCCGCCAACGGAGATAAGCACTCGGCTCGTCCGGCTCTGGTTGGGCATGGCAGCTCGTCCAACCATGTTTGTGGATTCGCTGACAGTGGGTATGTGCGCTGATCACACTAGAGACGACCTATCTTTTTACATTTCCTCTCTAAAGTCCTGGAAATTGGTCGACTTCCAAAAATACACTTCATACGGACACATGACCGCGTCCCCCTGTATACTGAGCATACGAAAGGCTAGTTGGTTATCGTGACAACGGATAAGGAACCTAAGATCAATTGTCTAGTTAAGCAGAGATAGAGGGAATATAGACAATGGGAAAAATCAAAAGTTACTTCTCCGCTTACACCATGAATCGAGTTGTAATGTGTTCATCCAGCCGCTCACCACGATGCCAAGATCACCTACTGAACATGAAATTCTGACTCATCACTGCTTCGCATACATTCTGTCACATCACCTCAACCCTATATACTCTGTAGTGCACTTATCAATCAGAATCTCTTCGAGAAGTACTTCAATATAAATAAGCCCCAAATATGGCACCACAGCTCAAAACGCCCAAAGGCACTCGAGATTGGCATGGAGAAGACATCGTTCTACGTAACTATACCTTTGACCAGATTCGCAAGGTGTTCCGGCTTCACGGCGGCGAAGAGATAGATACACCAGCATTTGAACTGAAGACTTATTTAACTGGAAAATATGGAGAGGATACCAAGTTGATCTACGACTTGCAGGATCAGGGTGGTGAGATCTGTGCCCTGCGCTACGACTTGACTGTGCCGTTTGCTCGCTGGCTTGGTATGAACAATATCCGAATTATCAAGCGATTCCAAATCGGCAAGGTCTATCGAAGAGACCAGCCAGCTTTGAAGCAGGGACGTATGCGCGAGTTCTTCCAATGCGACTTTGACTACGCCGGCCAATGCGACTTGATGGTACCAGACTCAGAGGTTGTTTGCATTGCAGCCGAGGTCTTCGAGGCCCTTGAGCTGCCCATTGTGATCAGGCTCAATCACCGTCTCATTTTGAATGGCATGTTTACAGCCGTGGGTGTCCCTGAAGCTTTTGTGCGACCTATAAGCTCGGCAGTCGATAAGCTCGATAAGTTACCTTGGGGAGAAGTCAAGAAAGAGATGGAAGAGAAAGTACTTGATGCTGATCTCGCTGATAAGTTAGGTGAATATGTGCTGCGTGATACGGCATCAGATGTCACTTCAACTTTGGCGTTCCTCAAATCAGATGCACTCTTATCGACAAACAAGGACGTACAACAGGGTGTGAAAGAGATGGGGTTGCTCCTCCAGTATCTCAATGCATACGACGTTACCAAATACGTCCAATTCGACCTGTCGCTGGCTCGAGGATTGGATTACTATACTGGTCTGATATACGAGGTTGTCGCGAAAAATCAGCCAGACACTTCGGTTGGCAGCATAGCTGCCGGAGGTCGGTATGACAATCTTGCAGGCATGTTCACCAGCCGTGACGTGCCATGTGTTGGAATCTCATTTGGCATTGATCGGATCCTTGCTATACTCAAGGGTCTGAATCACAATGCTGGAACGGCTCAAAAAGGCAAAGTCGACGTCTGGATTGTCATTGCATCGGACAGCGCTAGACTGGTCGCACAACGCATGGCTATTGCGCGTCATCTTCGTTCTTCGGGCATCAGCGTGAACTTTGACCCAAAAGCTGACAAGAAACTACGAAAGCAAATGGACGTTGCGGAAAAGAGTGCTGCCGTTGTAGTATTCTTGGAAGAAGATGATACAATGCCTGGCCACGCGCGAGTCAAGATACTCTCACTTCCAGACAAGAATTTCGACCACGCACCCATCATCAAACGTCAAAATCTCGTTGATGAAGCAAAGCGACGTCTCGAAAAACAGTCTGAATAGCCAAACTTGAGGAGTATAAATAACAAAGCTTCATTTCACCTTCTGCCTGTTTCGGTCATTCAGCCTACTCCCCCTCCTTTACAGCGGAATCCCGGCATTTTCCCGTATACGAATCCACCACACTTCTACACACCGATCATATTCCTTCACATCCGTATTCCCACATACGCACACCGCCACAGATCCAAGCGCACACGCGCGCGGGCTTGCCGATACACCCAAATCCCAGGATCGTACTCGCGTTATAGCCAAGGACCCATCCCTCATCTACCCACATTTTCTACCAGCCAGTCGATCCCGGACAACAGGATCCGGGTAAAAAAGAGGAAAGTATTGATCGACCCACACGGCAGCGAGCAAGCACTTAGCACCCGACAATATACAATTCCCGCCGGGTCCCTCGCCTATAGCACGCGTGCTATAAGGGACACTGTTCCCCAACGACGGCATGACACGTGAGTGTACTGGGATCTCATAGCCCTGACTCTTCTGCCCTATTTCTTTCATTTACCGGGACGATCCTCTCGCTTCGGGTTCTCGCCCGGTTCGGATCTCCGTAGTTCTTTTTTTACTCGATCAATTTCTTTCCTAAATAGTACTTCTGATGTAGTCGTCAACATCCCCACTTTGCGCATGAGGATTACGTTAGCATAGCACCGCAGGTGGATACAACAGAATGACACGGTGATTAAAGAAGCTCAAGGCGAATAATACTACAAAGCTAGTTTAACATGACAATCGCCGCTTTTACTCGCCTATACTAAAATACACCGGCTCCACCCGTGCGCCCAGCTACTCAACACCGCGTCGGGCGTGGAAAAACATCCTATTCAGGCCGCTTCTCCATTCGCACCACATTCTATCTCCTCCCTCTCATTCCAACCTCCACTCCCATATCACCCCAACATTAACCTCACCAATACCCTCGGCGCTAGCCCCACATCCCCCCCCCCTTCCCCCTCCCAACCCAATCCCACCACATTCCTACTCCTACCTCCTCATCAACCCGATACCCACACCCACCCCTCAGCCCTAGAAAACATCAACACCCAACCTACTATCGCAAAATAGCCCAACGAATCAAAGCGCCATGCATGCCTGCTAGCCTCGTTCTACTCGCTTCCCAAGTAACCCTACAAGCATAACCCTTGGCAACGTAAACATCCAGGGAATACCCCTCAACCATTTTTTAACCTTTATCTGCGCTTTGAAGGCAAAACAGGAAAGAAAAAAAAAGAGAGTTCGACCGGCCTATTCCTTGCATTTGCACTTGCTAGTAACCCGGTCGAACAAAACAAAATGCTAAAAACAAACGGAGTTCGTGCACACACACACCCCCACCCCCTCCTCCTCGTTCCAACCTTGTTCCGTGAATTAGTCCGCTGTCAAAACTTCGGTAAAAGGGAAAGAGGCGTAAAACATGCTCCAGACGGTTCGCATATAGACTTGATTAGTAAATAGCTTGGTACGTATGTTGATTGGTCGGTTGGGTTACCATATTTTGACCACACGGGAGGGGGGGGGCCATATGTATCCCCTCGGTCTTGCCAACATAAGTAGTTAAAAGAAATTCAATCTATGCTATTTAATTTTTGATTCGTGGAGGAGGAGGAGGCACGCACGCGTGTCTGTGTGCGTGTGTGTGTCTGTGTACCTACTTGGAAAACAAAACAAAAAAAAAGGTGACGGCGGCGCAGCACCAGCACCAGCACCAGCACCAGCAGCAAAAAAAACCTGTCAGAATACTGGTAAAGAAAAGTCCGTGTTGCTGGATTTGGGTTTTAGACAGCGGGAGTTAAGGAGCTGGAGGCTATTGTGATCAAGGCGGGGCGGGCTGTGCGGGCATGCCCGATAAATCTAGCACGACGTAGTTCGATGTAAATAAAGTTGCCCTTGTTTTGGGCGTCTTTTGCGGAAAGGCGTAAAGGGAATGGTTTGCATGATCCGAGGCGGTCCGTGTGTGGATGCGAAGTTTAGCATCGTCTCAGGACTTATTCTACTAGTAGGTAGACGTTGGCCTAGAGCCCAGTAGTACGCAGTATAGCGCAGTCTGTCTTTGTTTCTTTTTTTGCCTATCTACCTAAATGGTGCAAACCCTATTATAGGCCGCCGTTTTTTTTTACGAGTTTCACGCGACGACCCGATGTCATCAAACGGGCGCGTATCCAAGTAGTTGTTGAAACAGTAGCGCAACCAAGAGGGAAATTTGTAACGAGGGAAGTAGCAATTCGCGTCACAAGGTGCACATGCAAGTCAATCTGGAAATCCAGTTCAAATGTACAAGGTAGTCAACAAAGCTTGTTTACAGGTGGCTAATCAGTGTAATGGATTGATTTTTGGTTTAAAGTGATGCAATATAATTTGCGACGTAGCGTCGCGATTTGTTCTCGAACGAGAAAGGTCGACTCCTCGACCCTCGTTCCTGAACACGAATAACGATTATCTCCCGGTGCCTCTAATATAAATAAAACATCTTGCCGTAGACAAAAGAAAGGGAGGGATGAGGTTGAGGTTTCGAGCTTTGACAAAACAGATCTATGAGAGAGCGCGAAGAAATGAAGTGGGATGCGCCGACACAATGCACTCAAAAGGAGCCGATGGAAATAAGACAAAAAAAGGAAATGTCCAAGTAGTGTGCTGGAGGAGATGACTGATGATGGAAAAAAACGCCCAACCCTTTGTGATCTTCCGATGATAAATGTGCCAGTAGATCATGAGAGAAGGAAACAACGTAAGTCATAAATATATACACAGAATGTATGGGGGGTTTGTCATAGCTACATGGTATGAGTGCAGCTAGTTCTACCGCATGAGCCTCCTGGGCTATAGAGTAGATGAAATGCAATGTAGTAAATACATTCGAGCAAGTTTTTATACGGGTCGTGGTGGTTGGGGAAAAAGCCTGAGCATAGGCGAGCGGGGTTGGGATGTAGTCGCTGCACGGCTTCGTGGCTTTGTTGGCTTTTCCTCGACATTGGAAGTAGCGAGAAGTTTGGCTGCGCCATCAGAAAGGACTGATTTGTGTGTGCGCCCAGAGGGGCGCTTGGAGCGCAGTGAGTCCTGACGAGCAACGTCGAGCGATGCCTCCAGCTCTTCATCGGCCGTCAAGTGGTTAGCACGCTGCGAGCCACGGCGGGCGAGGTCCAGAGACGTCTTAACGTCGGTCTCGATGCGGTTCGAGGATCGTTTCTCATTGTGTGGCGCTTCATCGTCTGAAGCGAAAAAGGTCCGTCCTTCAAAGGCATGTCCTGGCGGGGTGATATCATCGTCCTCGTTATCTTCACGCAGAGACGCAATCTGATCAGAGAGTTGATCCCCAACCAGACTAAAACCAAGTTCCTTTCGGTTACGGCGAGAAGGCACCAGTTCGGGTACACTTCCTGCGGAGCTTGCTGAGCGCCGAACGGGTGAGCTCCAGAGACCAGAGCCTTGAATGGAAGACATCAGGCTGCTATCATACGAGCTTCGCCTGCTGAGCCGGACGTGGCTGCTGCGCGCGGAACTGGTAGTGCTCCGGCCGTTGTCAAGCATTGGGAAGTGACGGTCTGATCCAGCGTATTCGTCTAGGAGATCCTCATAGGTCACGTCCCGAGTATCCTTATACTCCTGAGGCACCAACAGAGAGGGACTTATGAAGCCAGTCTCGTGACCGTAGTGATTGGCGCTGTAGAGATCAGATGGCGTGGTAGGCAGTCCTGTGCCGAGTGTGGAAGTAGATATGGCAGAAGCAGGGTCAAGCTCTGGTACACTGTTTGTGCTAGGGACAAGCAAGGAAGAGCGGAAGTTGACATGTAGACGGTTCTCGCGGTCGATAGGAATTACTCGAGATTCGCGATTGTTGTGTGCGTATGCAATAGCTGGGATTTGTACGTCGTCCGCACCATGGTCAGATGCACGATCCCACTCCAAGTCGCATTCAGCTTCCAGTGCATTATCGTAGATGTAATCAACGTCTTCTTCCCATGACTCCTCAATTGCGCGCCACGTGTTGGATTGACGACGGTGAGAGGGCCTTCGAACGGACCTTCTGCGGGCGAAATTAGCAGAGCCCAAGGTGTCGGACTGCTGTGACGAGGATCGCGAATGAGAAGGCTCTGCTCTGGGCGAGACATCGAATTGTGCTCGAGGGTTCGTCCTGTTGCTCGGAGGCGACTGTTGGTTCTGGAAGGAGAATGATCCGAAATACGACGATTTTGGTGAGCTTGGTGTTCTCAGAGGTGGTTGTGGTGCAGGTCTTGGGCTAACAAAGCGCTCTGGTTCCTCAGCAACGTCGGCAAGACTAGGGCTAAATGGGGGCGTGGCTGCATGAATAGCAGAATCGTCGGGTGTTGTCAAAGCATGGCCAAAGTAGGATGTATCTTCTTCAATCTCTGGAAGATCCGGAGTGGTTCCAGCAGATAAGGAGAAAGAATCCCAGATACCAGACTCTCGCTTGTGTCGAGACAGTCTGCGCGCGGCAGATATCTTGTCTTCAGAGGTGGGGTCTAGGGGGATGCGGGTTGTTGGCACAGGCGACGTCGTGAGACTGTATTTGCGAGGGCTGACACCAGGCTGGGAGAAGCTTTCTATCGACCTGGCTAGTCGGAGTGGTCGTCGCGAGTTTGAGAACTGCGGAGCATTGTCAGCAGCAAAGGTTGCTTGAGGGCTATCAGGCGGTGAGCCGATGCTCAATGTCACTGACGACCTGTTTTCAGCATTGAGGTTTTCCGAAGAGAAGTTGCTGAAGAAGGAATCGTTGGTTGGCGTAGAGCTTTGCTGATAGGGTTGCGAGGTTCGTCCCGGAAAAGATCCGGGACCTAGTTTTTCATTGGCAGTGTGCTCAAGAGCAGCGAATTGATGTCGATCGGTATGTGAGAGATGTTGAAAGTCAAATGGACTGGAGATGCGGCTGATCAGGCTTCCTGCAATCAAGGTAAGAGATTGGAAAAGCCAACGCGATGATAGCACGTTACGTACCACTGTCTTCAGGCTGATTGCCGCTTCTTCTAGCTTTTCGTAGTAGCGACGTTCGCCTTTCACTGGCATCTCCCTCATAATCATCACCACCAACGACTCCAGTTTCGCTTAGTCTTTTTCCTTTCTTGCCTCGAAACAGTGATCTTCTCGATCCAGTAGAAGGGTGGGCCTTGGGATGTCCTGATTGTGAGTCATGCCACGAGGCATCATGGTCAGCCATGTCGTGTTGCGACAATAGCGAGGGTGTGAGGGAGGTTGCAGTGTTGCTCCTCGATCTCAGGTTGAAGACGGAGCTCCGCCTGGCGGGGTTGAATCTGTGTAGTTGTTCGGGCGAGTGAGCACCACCATGGGACGAGGGTGTGGGACGGTAGTCTTGCCAAGAGTCCGGAGCAAAAGTAGAGGGGTATGTTCCAGTTGCCTGTGAGTCGATTGATGACTGTCGAGACCGTGAGACATCGCTCTTATGGAACGAAAACATGTCTTGCAAGCTCAGCGGTAGCGCAGAAAGATTCCAGGCGAGGTCGTCAATGCAAGCTGGACTGTGCGCGTCTCGACTGGTGGCCGACAAGAGATGTTTAATCCCACAACCATTGAGGTTACAGGAAAGATGCAAGAGCGTGGCCTATTGCAGAAGACCAAGGATTGAGCAGGTGGTTAATACGGCTACAAGACGCGTCAGTGGTCTATGCGCAGGTATTATGGGACCACTGGAGCACGAGGCGTTAGAGGTGGACGGGGGGACTAAGGCTTAGGTGATGCGAAAGGACTAACCTGGGCCAAGGCTTGGAATACTAGCGGGGCAAACGAGGATAGAGCAGAAGTCGAGATGCAATAAGAGCCAAAGTAATATATGCAGACCCAGCAAGGAAGAAGAGCGGGCTCGTTTGCTAGGACGGAGACGGCAATGCAAAAGTGCGTTCACGGACCACTGTAGCTCGGGAACAAGGCTGATGAAAGGGCTCTGCCTCTGTGTGGTGAGTGACGAGGATGTGGCCAGGGACTATGGGTGTTGCAAGAGCTGGTGGAAGGCACAGACCCACGTGAGACAGACGGTGGTATGGGATCCAAGACGTTGAGGTGTAGTGAAGCGGGTAAGGAACGTGGTGTGTGGTGTTGGTGGTTGTGTGGAGATGGGCAGCGGGGGACATTATCTGGAGTGTTCCATCTTGTGCCACGGGAGCAGGTGGAGGATTTGAGGCCGGCGAGGTTGGAGAGCGAGTAGGGATGATCTCACTATGTAGGTACATGGCAGCTTGGTCGAGCAGCAGAGAGCATGTGGAGAAGGATGAAAGGTGCACAGTGCGCATCGACCATGTTAGTGGCATCCAAGGAGTGCAGGGACATGGGTATCTGCCGCTGAGCGACAACGTCTGGGCGTGTGTTAGTGGCTGGGAAGAGCGGAAACAGGGGCATGGTTGACGGGGGAGGCCCGGCGTCGCATGCTGGCCTACTGGGCCTCAGCACACACAAGAATGCGGCCCGACAGGTCGGCCTAAGCAATATAACGTCGCAGGGGCCCAGGGCGAGGGCGATGATTGGGCGTAGCCGCGAAATAAACGGTTAAATCTGCTGCGTTGCTGCTCTGGCCAGCGCTAGGCCCGGTGTGCCAGAAAGGGAGTGAGGTCCAATTTGCTTACGAGCCGGGCGCATGCTGTTGTGCAACCGAGGAGGATCCGACCATGCCTGCTGCTGCCGAGAGGAGACGTCGAGGGCACGGTGCGACTCGGGCGAGAGGCCGGACCAGCTTGCGAGGTTGCTGCTGACATACATGGCTGGCGAGGCGGGTCGCGTTATGACGATATTGGCGTTGTTTTTTGTTGTTGTTGTTGTTGATATGGGTGTCGCGATAAGTGAAAATGGTGTGTGTGGAGATGACTAAGCTAGGCCCAACGCGTAAATTGCCTTATACGCTGGCGGGGAGGGGAGGGGATTTGTGCTCGTAGTGCCGAACACTTGCCGGCCTCGCATTTTTTTTTCAGGCGGGCACGGCGCATTGTGCTCGGGGTTGGACTAGCATGTGTATGTATGTATGTATGTATGTATCTAACTAGCTATTTAGGTACATGTATGTTGATACATAATAGTCGATGAGCAGACGGCAGGAGTATGCACCAAAACGTCAGTTGGGCGGTCTCGCCTGGGATGCGAGAGTGTGTATGTGCACTCAAGACGACACAGCATGTCACCATGGCGGTGCCGGTGATCAGGTCAAGAGATCTGTTTAAAGGGGATCGTGACAGGCATCGGATCAGGCAAGCCAGGCTATCAGTGGCCGCGCGGGCATAGGCCAACAAGTCATCACGGTCCTGTCTGCAGATCTTCCTACGCCTGGGACCAAGGTGAAACAGCCGAAGAGAGCCCTGCCGGAATGCCGTGACCGACGACTTGACTTGACACGACACGACACCAGACGATACGACTCTCGAGTACCCCGCCTCACTCAAGACTTTTACACGCCTCATCAACGGCGACAGGGCTACGGCAGTGTCTCGCCCGAGTCGTCATCGTCGTCGTCGTCGGAAGAAGGAGAAGGGCAGCGACAGTCTGGGCCGTCATCCGCGCCTGGGCTGCTGTACACTACTGTCTGTACCCTGGAACTGTTATCGGCGTAAGTATGTACTACGTAGTCTGCTGTACATGGCACACACAAACGTACATACAACGTACATAGTTGGATGCTTAGCTGTCGCGGTGGACACAATAAGCCCCGGGTCATGTGCCTTGCTGCGAATGCGAGTGGGCGTGGGGAGAACGAGTCGTTCTGGCGGCGCACAAGACAGCACACAGCACCGTCGCACTCGGCCAGCAATCTCAGCTGCATGTGCGCACAACCAGCACACCGACATATTCTCCATAGCGCCGCGCCATGGTGCCCCCAGGCGCCGTGCTTGCACATGGGCATGAGCGATACTTTCTGCCTCTGGCCAGCAGCATGTCATGGACACAGTTATTTACATCCATTACGTCGCTGCAAGGAATTCGCCGCGCCCCAAGCATACCCAGCGCTTGCCTGTTGTTTCTGCACATGGGCAGTCAAAGTGAAGGTTTGGTCACGTGCCCCTGCTAACTGCCGGCACGCGCTTGCCCGTGTGCAGGGCCAATCCCTGATTGGCGCAAACGGTCTTGGCGCAGACTGCACTTGGCTACTTTAGTACTTACTTCCCCGGTGAGTACACAGCACAGTACGCAACCTCTCCAACTGCGCGTGTGCGTGCTGCTGCTCTGCGGATGCGCTTATCATCACGCCCGTCCGCCTCTCCCTTCTCCCCCTCCCCCCAGCCCATGGACCCACAAGGCAGGCACAGGCCCAGAGTCTTACGGCCGTCGTTGCGTAAGAGTTCTCCTCCCTCCTCCTCCCCTGCTGCTTGGTTCCTGCAGTTGCTGTACTTACTTGTACTCCCCCACTACACATCGCCGGCGTCTGCGCCATGCCTCCACCTTTGCGCAACTTCAACTTAGCGGGATCCACGTCTTACGCACGCCTCCTGCGCCTCCATCCGCCCATCCATCCATCCATCCACGGGAGGTTTATTTTGGACATGTTGACGTTGGTTACATGGCGCTTGCACCACACCCCAAACTGCCTAGTACTTACCAAGAACCTCTCTGCTCTGCCGTCGTCTGCACTCTGTACTTCCCGAGACTACCTTCACCGGAGGTATCGCCTGCCGTGCCAACTGTGTGCACGTGCTACGCCCACCCACCGTAAATAGTGTACACCCACCAATCCTGCGTCTCTGACTATGTGTTTCGTTGTGCCCCAGTAGCACCCGCTCATCTCCACTTGACTTGCCGACTATATGCTATATTTGCGTATGCACATCGGAAGGCACTCGACAACCAAACAAATGCCGTAAGTTGCAGGGCCATGCTGCTGGTCAAACCCAACAAGCGCAAACTTCTCCCGGCTTGCTTGCTTGCTTGCCTGCCTGCCTGCCTGCCTGCCTGCCTGCTTGCTCTGCGCTTTGCTGATCCCTCTTTTGTCAACCGTGGTCCCTAATGCTAGAACCCTGTTTCTGTACCTGCAGGCCGCGCTAGCCCTTATTGTCAAACTGCAAAAGGTGAGCCCTAACTCCCACACCCCCACCCGGACTCAGGCCGCCGATCCTAGCATTGTGCAATCGCAACCGAATAGCAAACTGTGTGCGTGCTAGTAGTAAAGAGCCTGTTCCGTGCCTTTCAAACATGTTTTACCATGGTTAAGCCGACACGGGCCCGGCAAAGACTAGCCCGCACATCCGATCTAAGACATCCACGCAATCATGTTACAATACAGGACACCCCAAAAGTATGATGCGACAACAAGAGGGCTGGTTTCGCGGCGCAAATGTCTCTACACTGCCCTTCTGGCCGGCTCTGCTCATGTCTTTGGTGAAACAGCATGCCCGAGGTTGAACAATGATCAACCAGCGGCTCTGCATTTTCATTGGTAGTCAATTATCGAATCGACAAAAAGCCCATGCTTTTGCAAGGACCAAGCAGAGCCTATTAGCTTGGTCAGGTACGAGGTCGTTTGCCGGATTGCCATGATGCTCGCACTCGAGTTCGCTTGCAACCTTTGTTGCTTTTTCCCCAACGAAAAGAAACAAACGTACTATGTACTTAATCCATCTGGCGTCTCAAGCAGGTCCCACTCACTATGTTTGGCATCCGCGGGCATCGCATCTTGAACCCAATTTGCCATGTGCACAGCGAGTTTTATCGAAAGCAAATCTTCTTGTTATTGAATCGTGACGCCTCCTCCCGCTTCAGGTAAAGAGTAATGACTAAGCTATGTATCGGAGACCGTTATGCTTTGTCGTTAAACGCCGTTGCAAGAAAGTTTCGCTTACAATAGACCAACGAGCTACACGTGAACCTTGAACTGCTCGGATTCAGGGTCGAAATAGCCGGATTAAGCATGCCCCAAGTAAACTCAGCCCGAACAAAACCTCGCACTAGCACTTCTGACACACGAGTGCGAAATGTGCATTCTGCTATATCTACAACTACCGACTATGATCATCTCAGGCAACGAAACTCTGAATACAAACTGCGCCGCGGAGTTCAACTCAACGTTTTGTCTTTAGCTTTCGGGCTGCAGTCCAACGCTGCTGTGAGAGGGGGGGGGCAGGGTACTCGACTTCTCGCAACATGGATAACCCTTCGTCCGGCGGTATGTCGTATGACGGAGTTTTCTATTAATGCATCTTGGGCAACGATTACAAAGCACGTACAGTACGTATGTATATTATACGCGGCTAGTGGCTCATCTCACAACAGGGAACCGATGCAACGATGTTACGATTGCCGCCGACTGTCGCGTTTGTATCAGAATATCACGTTCAAAGGCACATTGAAAGTGCTTGTTTTCTCTGCCGGCGCATGCAATCAACTCCCGGCAAATGATGACGGGGCCGAGCGCAGACGACAAGAGGTAACGGTCAATGCGTCCCCACAAACCCCAGCTCTATAAGGCGTTGGCACAGTTCAATAAGAGATACATGTATGTAAGATGTAGACACGCAGCCTATCAGAGCTGGCTGGGTATCATATTCACGCCACAATTGCTCGCTGCTTAGGCTGAAGAGTAAGACGGACCAACCTTAATCTCTCCCGCCTTGTCGTCGTCCAACGCCAGTGTACGGCACATCTCAGCTCAGCGCTCCTCAAAGAGATTGGGCCACACATGGGGGTAGGAAGCCACACACGGCCCGTCCAATGCAAGGGTTGCGATCCTCTTAGACCGCCGATCCAGAGCCACACACATATTCGCCGCACCACCAACAGCTATGAGCCGTGCCGCATCCAGCATGAACTGCACGCCTAACAACTGTTGCAAGATCGAAGGAGCACGGCGCGGCGTTGAAATGCGAATTGGTGGGTAGTGCCCCGTCATGCCAACAATCCTTCCCGGCTCCTCCCTTCAAACGGGCAGGTGTCCGCCTGAGCGACCCTTCTCTTTACCAAATTTTTTTCTCCTTTGTCGTCTCTCTTTTTCTACCTACGAGGATCGCCACGCAAGGCCAGGACAGTCGCCGTTCAATCCATCGCGCACATTACTTCTTTTCTTTTAGCCCCCATACAAGGCCACTAATTGTCCCGTAGCAACATCCATAAGGCCGCGTCGGTATTAATTCGTGGCCCCCCCGCCCATACGCTACGCTCTTCAAGTACATATACACACCCCAGAAGCAGTTTAGCCGCCCCTTTTTTCTACTCCTCTCCCTTTCCTTCTTCCTGGCCCTCTTCCCTCTCTCACTCTCTATACAAGGAAGTAGCCGTGCGCCACACCAACTATGGGTGCATGCAGCATGCATACACGGGGTCATTGCGGTTATTACCGAAGATTTGATTGATGATGACGCTGTTGGCGGAGCGAGCGAGCGAGCAAGCGACAGCCCTCTTTTTCTTCCCTTGCCCTTTTCCCAAGCACCAGGATCATGGTCAGACTATCCAATGCCTCTCATGAGCGCGCTCGGGGTGTTGGCGTGGTGGACCGGCCATGTACCAATCACGTCACCCCCTGTTTAGCAAAACACCCCGGGTGCTGCTGCCCGGATATTATAAGTACATGGTGCGAGAGGAGCGGTCGTGCGTGCCAAGCTCCAAGGTTGCGTCAGCGGAGTAATTGTTAGATGGGTTTGGTGTGCTAACTACGTTAGATGGGTCGCACGCGCTGGTGGCGTGTACTTAGTGTAAGTATTCAATGCGTCAAGACCCAAGTAGAAGGGTCCAGCACACACAGAAGAAAAAAAAGCAAACGATTAGAAAAAGAAAATAAAAACGCCCGCGGCGCGGGTGTATGTGTAGTTCTTTATTTGTTTTTTCCCGGTAGTTTGGTGTAGAAAAAAAGAAAAAACCTCAACTCCAACACCGCCATGCTGCTTTCCCTTCCCTGTTAGTTTTATTTTTTTTCCTTTTCCCGGCGCCTGCCGTGTATACCAAATTCCACCGCGGGAATCAAACGTGGGGGGGGGAAGGGGGTGGTTGATCACTATCTTTTCCATTCGGACCAAAAAAAGAAAAACACTGACTCGGTACACGCCCACACGCACAAGTAGTACCGTAAGCAATTCCCTTTTTGTCTATGGTAATCCTCGGGGTCCAGATCTTTCTTTTCATCCCCGAGAGAGATAGAGAGAGGACAACAGCATTCGAAATCTCAACCCCACGTTCGCCGAGTAAAAGTTATTTAGCTTTAACGCATTTGGGGTTTGGGGGGCTGGGGGGGGGAGGTAGATTTGGATTTCGCTTTTCGCGGTATACATCCTAATGCAGGAAACAATGGACGCTTGAATAGGTGAAGGTGAAGAGGAAGGGGGTTGGGGGATTTGTTTTGGGGGGGAGGCTGATCACTCAAACACGTATGGTAAAGAGGGAAACCCCACTGAGCTGAGAAAAACCTCGTATTCCCCCATGTCTGTTTGCTTCGCTTCATTTTTATTTTTTTGGTTATTATCCCAGTCGCTTTCGCGTTGGGGGGAGGGGAGGGGAGGGAGTACCTACTTACGCGTACACGCGTCCTTTTCCGCACTAGAAATGCAGTGTTTGCGGCTGTAACTTGCAGAATGTGTTTGTCATTTTTTTCCTGTTTCCCCGGCTAGTTAGAGGTGCAGGAGTGATGTTTGCGCGGCGCATGCATGAGTATGTACTTTGGCGAAGTGGAGTATTTGTAAAATATGCAAGGGGCTTGGTCTTTTTTTGTAGATGTTGCTTTTTGGGGGTTTTTCGAGAACTACGCGAGTGGACTAAAGTGTGATATGCTGAATTTGCTATAGTGTGTGCCACGTGTATACATGTACTAGGTGTATTATGGAATGCGAGACCGAGAAAGGTGGATGGGGAAGAAGAAAGGGCGTGTGTGTATGTGTGTGTATGTGTGCTCGTGTTGAGGCTGAATATGCTAGTTGAAATGAAGTGCAGGTGTATGTGGGTGGGTGGGGAGCAGTGTTTCGAGGTTGAGTCTCGATCTCGGGGCTGATCGGGGAAGGGGGGAGTGGAACTTTTGGTAATTGTAGGGGTATGTTAGGTAGAGGTGGAGGTGGATGTGTAGGTGGGTAATACTAGTGGGGTGATGTTTTGAGTTACGATAGGAGAATTGTGTGAGATTGAGTGACTGCGCACGGTACGCACCAGGCACCCATGTGTCTATCTGGTTGTCTGATAGCGATGTTTGATCGTGATGCAGTCAGTGATCTTGCATGGTTTAGGTGGTCGGGTCAGCAGCATAAAAGGTAATACAGTCAGCCTGTTTTTCCTTCAATCAAAAGATGATGAGGTCAAGGTTTTGATTCTACCCCTTTTTGAATTTTTTTCTAGTCTGAATTTACCGATTGAATACGTCGAGATATTCCAGGTTGCAGTCTTGATCTGAGTCAGCAATGGCCTCATACGTGTGAGATGGACTCGAAATAGAGTGCCGTGTAACTGTCGTTGCAAGTATAGATGCCGTAGTACAAAATGCTCACTGACCTGTATCCGTGCTTGTGCCACGTGAATTATTCTGCCATCGCACATCCAAGGTACAGGTGTAACTATGTATACGTAGAGTTGGTGCTACAGATACATGGTATGTCTGAATACATAGAGCGCTTCGCTTACCTCGTGTTTGCGGTTGTAACTTGTAGTGCACTGTTTTTTTGGCAAGACGGTAAGGACCAAACAGGAAGGTGATGTATCGGAATGAGTTTCTGGAGAAGAGTGCCACAAGCTGTGCTTTTCTGCAGCTATGGATTTGAGGTTACATGATGTGCGAGGTGATTTCTGCAAAAAGAGAATAGCCATGGTGGCCCGCTACAAATGGATTGATAGACAGAGCAGTTGAATATAATGTGATATTGTTGTGCAGAAAACTGATACAAGATTCTTAACTTGGATTCCTCCAGAGAACAATCTGAAAATAAAGAGAGAGGGATTTTTTACCATGTCAATTTATGTATTGACTGATACGAGCTATCTGAAGTAGCTAGATACAGTCTTCGGCTCAAAAATTATTGCAATAGGCAATCAGGGAGAAATCAAGAAAGCTTTTTCGGCGTTAATCTTGAAAACTCATTTCTGCTTCCTGGAAGTCGAAAAAAGATTATTCTAAATGCTAAACCCAGTAGACATGATGCCAGAAGTGCGTAGTTATCAAGCAAGGAGATAATTTCAAGAAAGCCTATTCGGCACCAAAGCTTAAAACTCCTTACTGCAATGTTAGATGTGAAAGTCAGAATTAACTCTGAAACAGAAAACAAAGAGAATTCGTAGTTCGTGATCATTGATTAGAGAGGAGGAAGGGAGGGAGGGAGGGAGGGAGGAGGATAGATAAATGCACGTGTTTGGGCTATACTCATAGTAAGATTACAATTTTTTCCCAATAGGCTGGGAATTTGAGGACACATGGATTGCTCCACATTAATGCAGATGCATTACTTGACTACTTAAATTTTTTCTATCTGTTTGCTATGTAGCGTATCAGATCAATTATCTCAGAAAAGAATGGCAGGCCACACCCCAACCTGCCGCAATCGAGTATCACAAAAAATTGACTTTGCAATCAAAGTGTAATGTGTTGGTAATACTACCAAAAACCTCTCAACGGGCATATGCCCATTGGGTACGACAGCCAAAATGCGGTCGCGACGAAGGCAGCAGAACAGCAATGTAGATGCATAGGGTTTAGATGATAACAATTTTCATATGCAAGATGGGATGTGCCATATTGCAAAGAGATTGTGAGTGAGCTTGGCAGAGAATACCGTTCTCCATAGTCATGAAAGAAACGAGGCAAGTTTTTGTAATCCATGTTGGAGAAACAAGGCCGATTCTTTGAGTACGGAACAACGTAATATGGGGTTGTTGAGCATAACGGTAGATGACTTAGTCTCTGGTCAAAAATGCGAGTTGTGGATAGAAGGCATTTCAATCAGAGATGCGATGAGCGCAGACTGTTCCGCAGTAATTCTTTCGTCACGTACAACCATAGACATTCCATGTCCGTCTCGCTATTTGACTGGCATGTGAGACCCACTAATCCGTTCGACTATTACACTCATGCGGTACTCTTCAAAATCACTTCCATATCAATCCCTGAATACTCTGAAATCTCATTTTGATTGATCGTTCTGTGTGGTAGAGGTATATACAATCCCACAGCAACGGAACCCGAAGCAACCGGTACGCCTGAATGTGCAAGTCTTATGCGTGGTCATCGTGATGTCCCTTGTCCTGGAAGAAGAGCTGCTCAGCAACAACGTATCCGGCAAAGGCAACGGTCGCTATGCCGAGGCCAGGGAAGGAGCCCTTGAAACGGTTGAAGCGGGTGAAGGGACCGGTGTATCGCCATTGCTCACTAGCTGGGGCATAAGTATACGGCGCGGTATATATGTAAGGTGGGCATTTAAGACGTACTATCGCGCCCAGGGGTCGCCCTTTGTGCCGTTGGCAGATGCGGCGGCGAACTTCTTGGGGTCGAAGCCGGTGATGGAGGGGCGTGGTGCCATTGTGAAGATGCTGCTGCTGTCAGGAATTGCTGGGTTCTGATGTACCAATTGAGGCCGCGCTAAGCAAGTAAACGTACTGAATGGGCCGCGAGAGATGGTCGACAAGGGAGAAGGCGGTCGCGGTCGCGGAGGCTGTTGGCGTCACGTCCGCGAAGCCGTTGGTGGTCGCATCTGGCTCAGTCTTGGCGCCCATCATGGCGCACGGCCGCCGCCCATGGGTTACGGACATCCTCCCCACACCATTCATTCACTCTCACCACGAACTATTGCTAGAACACGCATCTTGCACACCCTGCAAACGCTTTAATTGCTATAAATTTCTCCAAGAGCCCGGACAAGAACCCCCGAACACCGCTCGTTCGCGTCGTTATCGCCAGTGTTGCCCGCTTGCCGTTTCACTATTCCTCCACTTGTACTCTCGCGCCCGTCGCAGCAACAGCTACACTTTGCCCACGATGCCGCCTCACGGGGGCCGGTTTCCCGGCCATAACCTCTCCAACCCATTCGCACATCTCTCTGGCCCAATGCCCCAGCAGCAGCCACTGCACCAACATCAGCAACAACAGCAACAGCAGCAGCAGCAACAGAACATGCAGCACTTTGGCGCGGGCAACCAGGCAACTAGCCTGAATCTCTTTGGACAGCACCAGGGCGGTTTTCAATCGAATGCTGGCTTGGGCGGAGGCTTGGGAGGTGCCGGTCTGGGGGCAGCAGCAGCCATTGGCGGGGCAGGTGGAGGTACTGGACTCGACGGACACGAGGCGCGCATGCGGTTTGCCCATGGCGCTCAAATACAAGAGAATGCAGCCCGTGGGCACGATGGTACCAAGGGCATCGCTGGCCAGCGCATACGCCAGGTCTGGCGGTCCAACCTACATCAGGAGATGGACATGCTACGCACGCTCATTGACCAAAACCCATACATTAGCATGGTCAGTATGCTATTTCATTGCAACACCCTGCGACTGCTGTGCTATCGGACTCGCGTCTGGTAGTTCTCAAATCTTGTACCAGTGGTGGTTCCATGGCTTCATTCCTTGGGGTAGTTTCCATTCTACTCCTTTCTCCTAACCCTGTACACACAATGCTCACTCTACAAATAGGACACCGAATTCCCTGGTGTTGTCGCGCGGCCCATCGGAGACTTCAACTCGAAAGCATCATATCACTACCAGACTGTTCGCTGCAATGTCGATCTGCTTAAGATCATCCAGTTGGGCGTCACTCTCTTCAACGTTCAAGGCGACGTTCCCCCAACACATCTCGACACAAATACTCTGACATACAAGCCCAAGTCGTTTCAAAGATATTCAAACAACATTATTCCCTGCCCTTGTACATGGTCCTTCAACTTCCAGTTCTCTCTGGAAGACGATATGTACAACGAAGAGTCGATTCAGATGCTGAAGAAGTCGGGAGCTGATTTCGAAAAGCACCGCGACCAGGGCATTGACCCACAAGAGTTTGGCTCGCTACTCATAACATCTGGAATGACCCTGTCAGAGGACGTCAACTGGATATCATTTCACTCGGGCTATGATTTTGCATACATGCTCAAGATGCTTACGTCAAAGCCGCTACCAGAGGATGAGGACACGTATCGCAAGCTTGTCAATGTATTCTTCCCCAAACTTCTCGATGTCAAGTATCTCTGGCGACATGCAAACAATCTGGTTAGGCGCGGTGTCATTGGCGCCACAGCGACCAACATACTCAATAACTTGGGCACAAAGTCTGGCCTCCAAGATCTTGCTGATGAGCTCGGCTGCCAGCGCATCGGCAACTCACATACTGCTGGCTCAGATGCTTGGTTGACAGGAGTTGTATTCTGGGAGATGAGGAAGAAGATCTTCGATGGATCCGTTCCCGACGAAATGAGTGGCCACATGTGGGGTCTTACTGGCGTTGGAGCTCCAGCCAGCGCAGCTGCTCAAGCTGCTGTACTCGCCGCGCAGGGCGCATCACAGGGCTTGTCTGGCTTCCAGCAAGGCGTCAACAACACGTTCTACCCTGGAAACGCACGACATGGTGTCGATGGGCCTAGTACGCCTACCAACCACCCCGCAGGCCTTGCATCCAACACACCAGGACCAACTGGCATGATGACTCCTGGAGCTTACAGCGGATATGGCAACAAATAGAATGGTCGCCAAGGTGGTAGAGGCAAGGGGTCTCGCGGTCGCGGTCGCGGTCACAGTCAAGGTTATGACTGTGGTCACGGATATGGTCATGGGTATGACCCTTGGTATGGTCCTGGTCCTGGTCCTGACTATGGCTATGATGGTTCGTGGCCTCCTTATCAGCCCTGGGGTTGGCAATAATTTGCCTAGACGACATGCTTGTTATCCACGATACTATGACGAGTCGGCCTCTGGGGTACCCAGTGATATTGTATCTTTCTTTCCCTTTGTCAAAGTGGGCGGTTGGTATAAAAAAGGGTGGGTCTTCAAGGTCTACTCCATGACCTGTGGCTGGTGGCATGTACGATAGATACCCGGAGTAGTAGCAGTTATTGTGTACTTGTACATCCGGAGTTTCCAGTTTTGTCTTTTTCACTGTGGGGCTGTTGTTTCTCATATCTGGCATAACAATGAGAATACTTATTTTATTTCTGAAGGTTCCTTCTTACTCAAACAAGAAAGTGAATGATTGATATATAGGAGTCGAACTTTAGTATATTAGGTGTGTCTCTGTCTGCACGTGAACGCACCTAATATGCCGTTGACCAACACGCCCTCATGTGTAGAATTGGATACATCAACCTGATAGTAATGTACTAATACAACAAGACGAACACACTCCTTTTATGACAGGCTTGATGTCCTTTACTACCTTCCCAATGGCATCTGCATTTCGATCCTGGGAAAACGAACATGACAACGATGATGATGTCCACTATTTACATCCCTCTTCTCGCATCTGCTGCATGCTCCCCAGCGCGTTTCCCAGAAAATACACAATCAGCTAGGGACAACCCACTAACATACGAATTTGAACAAATTCCCACAGCCGTCCTACCTGCAGCATAAAGCCCACCAATATTCTTCTCACCAGCCAGAACCAGCCCCGTCCTACCATCAACACGCAAGCCACCCAGCGTCAACCCCACGACAGCTTGCATCCCCCCAGCTTCCGGCGAAATATCAATCCCGTAAAACGGCGGTGTCAAAATCTGACTTCGACAGTCATCCGTCTTGTGCATAGGATCCTCATCCCCCTTCTCAATCGCATCATTATACTCTCTAACCGTCTCCTCCAGTCCCCTCGCTGCAATCCCAAACTTCGCCGCCAATCCCGCCAGCGACCCTGCTTTCTTATACCCCCAATACATCCAGTGAAAGCGCTGCATCAAAACCGGACCAGACGTCTGTTGGAAAAGCTGCTGTCTTGCTTTCCTCCACTGCGTCCGATCCAAGATGAGAAATCCCCGGCCAGCATGCCGCTGAATCATGATTCCGCCGAGTGCAGCACCGTAGACGTCTTCGGCGAGCATCCTGCGGCCGGAAGCCGATACGGCGATGCCTTCGAGGAGGGCGGTGGGTGGGTAGATGAAGCGCCAGGCGGACATGCGGTCGAGCTTTGCGACGGAGGCTCCTGCGGAGGTGCCGAGCGCGATGCCGGAGCCGTCGTCGCGCCAGGTGCCGAGCGGTGCGACGTTGGAGTATTCCGGCATGTGGGTTTGGCGCATATGGGGGTTGAAGGAGAAGCCGCCTGCGGCGAGGATAATGGATGGGGCGTGGAGGGTTTGGAGGTGGGCATCGCGGTTCCAGAGGTTGAGGGCGCGGTTGTGGTACCATTTCGACACAGGGCGGAGGGACATTTGATATTGTTTTTCTTTTTTGGATAGACTTTTGTGACGAGTGAAGCTGGGGCTGGATTTTGGGAGCGTTTTGGTTTCGACTCCGTTGATTCTTTGGTTCTTGTCACGTAGGAAACGGGTTACCTTGCTCACGGGCATGAAGTCTACCCCTAGACCCACGGCTGATTTGAATAAAACACGCCATAATTCGGATCCAGACAACCCAGGGTGAACCATTCTGTGTCCCCGAGGTGCGGGATCTGCAATCTTGTTGTACGGATACGCCTCTTCGCTGCCGGAGAAATAAAGATAGTGTCTGTCAGTTGGATAAGTCGTCTTGTACGGGCAAAGCGAGGCCTCAAAACGAGCACCGTGCTTCTCCAGCCACTGCAGATTCTGGGCACTTGTTTTGCAGAAGCGTCGTAATGTCTCTTCGTCAACGGCATCTTGCGTCTCTTCTTTCAGATAGGTAAACATGTTCTCAGGCGTGTCGTGCCCGTAACCTGCTGCTTTTTGCTGCACAGTCCCTCCACCTGCATAGACAACACCGCCTGATAGGGCTGAGGCTCCACCACCATGACTGGCATCGATGAGAATTACTGAGGCACCTTTTTCTGCCGCTGCGATACTGGCGCAGACACCGGCTACACCAGCACCCACGACAACGACGTCTGCCTCGCGTGTCTTTGCGTCAGTTGAGAACGATGATACGAGAGATCGTGATTTGATTTTGGAAATGGTAGATAAAGTATTTGAAATTGTTGGCTGAACTGTCCGTACCGGAAGTCGAAACATGATGAAGTATGTGTAATCGCGTACTGCACGAGGTACAAATAGAGTAGGATTGCGTGAGCAGATCGAGAGAAGTTGACAATTGCTGCTTCGTCCTTGTATGCAGTCACAGAATGGTACTGCTGCAGAGAAGGGCCGATCTTACAAATACCATAGGTGTATTGTCTTTGGTTCGTCCCTGTGTAAAAGGATGACTGAATACGCTATACGGTTGAATACGCTATACGGTTAAGTGGATAAAAGCAGGAATCCCTGTAGATCATGAGCTGTCGGCAAATCAACCATTATTCGCACATGCAAAGTCTCGCCTGTCTAGTGATGAGTAGGTGAAACGCTTCAATAACTCTGATGTTTTTGAATGAGCCGCAAAACTAGAATGCAGATAATCGGACAATGTTCTTCACTATTTTGTGTCTATCTGCCAAGCGTCCTATGCACTTGAATATTCGTGACTCTGACCTGGACTGCCTTACACAACTCGAAGTCAATCGGTCAATGTTAGAGATAAGTTGATACCTATATTCGATTACTCAGCTACGCGATTCACATAGCTCAATCATTGCGCACTTCTCGGAAATGCTATGTGCTATCAGGTAGACGGAGTTGCGCTCTGGTCGTACCAAACCTAAGCTAATAACGGCAATGCAGACACATGGATGCTGCCGGAAAGTAAAAAGGATAACACTGTCGATGTCGACGTGCAAATAAAAGGCCGTATGGGAACAACATTGCTGGAATGGACAAACATACATGCCCTTTTACATGTTGAACCTCGTCCTTTGCTTGTCCATACGGCCTTTCCATTGCCACTCCTGGCCACTCTTGAACTGGATGCCGCGGTCTATTCTGCGGAGCTTGAGCGTCATTCGGGGTCTGGCAGTGCAAGGTTAGCAAGTGTTCTACAGAAGAAAAACAATATGACATACCCAATTTCTTGCATACCCACTTTGACATCCTCAGCGCCGGGAATTGGTTTTCCATCCGTGCCCAAAACAGGCTTCTCTGTCTCGCGCTTATCACGGAAGACGTAGCGATGGCGGCGCACAAAGATGTAATCGCGCTGGTTGTGAAGCGTAAGAACTTGACGACCCTCAAGTTCGGGGAATGGAGGGAAGAGGTTCTTGAAAAGCTGGGCGGTGAGGATACCAAGCGGGGTCTTGAAGTGATTGAGAATGAGCTCTGGATAATGTCCTGTGTCGTTTGCGTGACGGGGCAGTTTCTTGCCGTCGACCCAGTTGGAGACGCTGAAGTGGAAGTGGGGGCCGTTGGGGAGGTTGACGATGTCGAGGCCGTCAGGTTTCTTTTCGTGCTGGGCTTGCATAAGAATGACCAGGGCGGTGTAGCCTCTTGCAGCAGCGAAGCCGGCGATTTCCCGAACACTGTATTTGTGTGCGTGTGCATGCTTTGTACGACGGATGTATGTGCTATTGGGGAAGATGGAGGTGAGGACGTCAGCTTCCTTGTGCAGAGACGAGTTGATGCTGGTTGTAACGAGAATCTTAGGCTCCTCGTCGCTGGGGTTGAATATGGAAGGAAACTTTTGCTTGAGGAACTCGGGCGATAGATCGAAGTTGGTAGTGGTGGAGGTTGCAGTGGGGCTGGGTGCGCGCTTGGAGGACTTGGAGGACTTTGAAGGCTTGGAGGAGGCGGCATCTGAGTCGAGATCTGAATCGTCCGAGTCGAGGTCTGATTGGGAGTCGTCGAGCATGCTATCTGCCTCGTCCGAATTGGAGTCTTCTTCTTCATTGCCGTCACTATTATCGTCCATGGCCTCGTCCCGCTTCTTCAGCTTGGCCAATGTGCCTTCCTCGATGCCCTCTTCCTCCTCATGCTCAACTTTTCTACGCTTGGCTAACCGCTCGACGTCAATGGCCCAGCCCAAAGCATCCTCCTCGTCGCCCACAGGCTCATCCCACACACGCTTGCTGTCAATGGTGGCCGGCTTGTTGTTTGCTAGTCGCTCTTCGCGCAGCTCGGGGTTCTTGTCTTCCTCGCGCTTGCGGCGCATTCGGGCATCTCGCTTCTCCGACTCGCGCGCCTTCTTGATAGACAGATGGGCGGCCTGACGGCGAATCTTGTTCTTGGGCTTGAAGCCGGACGCGACATTCTTAGGGGCCGTCATTATGTGGGCGGTGGTGGTGGTAGTGGTGAAGGTTGTCGCCGTCGATTGCAGTAGGCGAGCCTGACAACTTTTCAGTGGGGCGGCGGCCGAAGCGTCTTTTCCGCAATCTTGGCGCGTCACCCACTGAGCCTACGCATCATGATTTGCACATGCGGGCAATTCGACCAGGAAGCCAATGTCCTGCACTAGACGGCCTGTACTCGCAGTAAGCCAATTCTCCTCGTGAAGCAGGGGAGAGCCTGATAATATATGCGCCAGCTCCAGGCTTTGCTGCGCGTCCCCCGCTCTGCATGGCGACCGTCTCTCCAGACAATAACTAGACGGGTACCTTGTGCCCCACCTCCGACTCATCCCACCACGCACTTCTCGACCACTCCACCCCTCTTCCGGTACAAGATTCCACAGCGCAAGAAGCCCGCCATGCCGAGTGATACAACCACCTACAAGGGCAAGCCCTTTGAGCGTGCTGCCTTTGAGCAGCTTATGAAGGTAGGCATGCACTACTACTGCCCCAGACCCTATCTGCACACTGCCCACTCACATGTCGCCAATTGCAGCATAAATACTTCTACGCGCCCTCATTCGACATCTATGGCGGTGTTGCTGGTCTGTACGATTATGGTCCACCCGGCTCTGCCCTCACCGACAACATTGTCGACATATGGCGCGAACACTTTGTGCTCGAGGAGGACATGCTCAAGGTCGAACCCACCATCCTCACCACACATGATGTTCTCAAGACCTCTGGCCACGTCGACAAGTTTGCCGACTGGATGTGCAAAGACCCCAAGACGGGTGAGATATTCCGCGCCGACCACTTGGTCGAGGAGGTGCTCGAGGCCAGGCTAAAGGGCGACAAGGAGGCGCGTGGCCAAAAGGTCGAGGTTGAGGAGGAGGATCCCAAGAAGAAAAAGAAGAAGGTCAAGAACATTGCAGCCATCAAGCTCGAGGACTCAATGGTCAAGGAGATTGAGGAGGTTCTGGCAAAGATCGACAACTACAACGGCGAGGAGCTGGGTCTTCTCATGAAGAAGTACGACATCCGGAACCCTGCCAACAACGGCGAGCTCCTACCCCCCGTCGCCTTCAACCTCATGTTCCAGACTTCGATCGGTCCTTCGTCAAACCTGCCCGCCTATCTACGACCAGAGACTGCCCAGGGCCAGTTTGTAAACTTCCAGAAGCTGCTAGACCACAACATGCAGCAGATGCCTTTTGCGTCTGCCTCCATTGGCAAGTCTTTCCGTAACGAGATTTCGCCTCGCCAGGGTCTCCTGCGTGTACGCGAGTTCCTCATGGCCGAGATTGAGCATTTTGTCGACCCAGAGGGCGGCAAGAAGCACCCACGATTCAGCGAGGTCAAGGACGTTGAACTCGAACTGCTCAACCGCGACGTCCAGCTCGCTGGCAAGACCACGGTCGAGACCACAAAGATTGGCAAGGCAGTTGAGACTGGCCTAGTCGACAACGAGACACTGGGTTACTTCCTGGCTCGCATCCAGCTCTTCCTCCTCAAGATTGGTGTCGACCCCAAGAAGATTCGCTTTAGGCAACACATGGCCAATGAGATGGCCCATTACGCAGCCGACTGCTGGGACGCCGAACTGCTCACATCGTACGGCTGGATCGAGTGTGTAGGCTGTGCTGACCGAAGCGCATACGACTTGTCTGTGCACATGAAGAAGACTGGCGCGCCTCTGATTGTCCGTGAGACAAGAAAGGAGCCCCTCAAGGTCGAGGAGTGGCAATGTGACATTGACAAGAAGAAGTTTGGTCCCAAGTTCAAGAAGGACGGCAAGGCTGTCGAAACAGCCATTGAGTCCTTGTCACAAGATCTGCGTGAGAAGCTGTCCCTGGACTTGGAGAAGGAGGGCAAGATTGTCATCGATGTCCCCGAAGTTGCCGACGGCAAGGTCGAAGTGCCCAAGGAGCTCATCACAATCGAGAAGCGCACCCGGGTGGAGACGATGCGAGAGTACACGCCAAATGTCATTGAGCCGTCATTTGGTATTGGCCGTATCTTCTATGTAAGTGCTCCCGTTGCGGAATGGCGGTATGCTTGACTGACCGAATCAGGCTCTGTGTGAACACGTCTACTGGACCCGCGAGCAGGACGAAGCCCGTGCTGTCCTCTCATTCCCTCCTGCGGTTGCACCGACAAAGGTGCTTATTGTCCCGCTCAGCTCAAACCCAGACTTTGATCCTTTCGTAAAGACACTGAAGGACAAACTTCGGAAGCTTGGTATCTCCAACCGAGTTGACGCGTCTGGTGCATCAATTGGCAAGCGCTATGCAGTAAGTCATGCCCCTCTGGTGAAGGAATGATTGGGCTCTGACAGTGATCCAGCGAAACGATGAGCTTGGTACCCCACTTGGTATCACCGTTGACTTCCAGTCAATCAAGGACAACACTTTCACCCTTCGAGACCGTGACACAACTGAGCAGGTTCGCTCGAGTTTAGACGACATTGCCCAGGCCATCTCCAACATTGTAAAGGGCGAGGAAACCTGGTCAGATGTTGCCAAGCGCCTGCCCAAGTTTGAGGGCCAAGAGGTAGATTGAGGGCTGTGTTGATTCAATACTAGCAGTGATTCGCTTCATATAAGTGCGGATTGCTTTCTCTTCTGCATGCCGCCAAAGCCCAAAGCTGGAGCCAAGGGTGACTCTTTGTGTAAAAAAAACAGAGGCGATAAAGCGTGTCGCATCCATGTAGATGATACGATGCCTTGGCTGGGACGAATACAGTGAACTGGTTGTGCTGTCAGGCTCTTGTTGTCCCACGTAATGTGATTGTGTGAACAACCCGGTCTCTTTGTTTTCCCATGTAATCTAATCTGAAAAAAAAAGATACCAAAAGAGTTCACCTACGTAGATACGTGTCCCGCACCCCGGGGTTGCGGGCTTGTGTTGGCCCGGTTGGGGGATGGAGAGTGGACGATTACCACATCCGATGCAGTCTTGCCAGGATGAAGGCCGCGCCGCCACGAGTCAGGCCGCGGGAATTTGAACTCTCGACATGAAATATAGGGCCTAGAAAATACGACGTGGCATTGTGGCCGCTGAAAGCGGAATCCTCGCAGGCTTCGGTGGGTAGAATGCATATGCGGCGGGTACGTCTGCGACCAGACACAGACATGTACATAGACATGTACGTAGAAATGATGAAGGGGTTCTCGCGGTCTTCCGGGGATTTGGTCCGGTGCATGCAGGTGTTGAACTAGCCTCGAGACCCCGGGGGATGGGTAGGGCAGCTGAGAGAGACCGAAGACGGTCCGGGCAAAGTGCTAGCAGCCTGGGGTTGATGCAGCAGCCCTGAACGTCTTGGGCACCATGCATTGAGGCACCATGCTTCCGTGTGTGTACAAACATGGGGCTATATGCGCCTCAGGCTATGACATGATGGAGCTCACACTGCCATGTAACATCGCAATGGGGATGCCTGGGTGCTTGTGCTCTCTCCTCGGAACAGAAGGTGAGTCGGTAGTGTGGTGGAGATGTGGGCTCGCTGGCTCGCTGTCTCGCTGACTGATTGTCGGCAGCGTACATACTCGACATAGGGTTCAAAGGGCGGGAATTTGTCATGGAGGTGGTCAGACGGAGATGATCAGCAAATCACGTCGGCACCAAAAAGAGAAGGGCAATGGACGTGGACCTTGTTGCCAGTCGCGGGCATGGATCCACGCTTCAAGTCTAGTACCTTCTGCAAGGCCCATATGTATACCCAGGCTGGATGCGCGCGCCCCCCCCCCCAACCAACATCAAGCGACTATCGCTTAGCAGACGCAACGTCAAGCTCTTGCACCAGCCTCTTTGGAGAGGGATCCATTGGCAGCGCGTACGTAAAGACGTCGCGGGCGCCCTCGTTCGACCTCACCATCGTCCTCCGCTGGACTTGCCCAACGAGACCCGTTCGGCCCCTCTGCAGCCTGTCGGCTTTCCGGCGCCATGGACGAGGGACCGCCACCACCCGAAGACGTGGTCGCCCCTCACGCAGGGCCTCCACTCAAACGCCCAAGAGCTGACTCGGACGATTCAGCATCCATTGAGTCCAAGTATGCCGCCGTTTCTCCTATGTTTCTCTCGTATTGCTGCATCCTTTGCGCCCTCCAAGGCGCTGCGTTGCCAACCGCCCGCATTCGACAGGAGTGGGCAGCCTGCTGACGGCTAACGGATCCTCTTCCATCGCCACCCACCGCACATGAAGCACAGCTGACAGTCGTTGCGATAGTCGCTCTGTTCGCACACTTGCCTCGGACGACCTCGACTATGTCCATGAAAATGGCCGCACATACGCCAATGAGTCGTACTATCTGCCCTGCGTCTACAAGCCCAACAACGACTTTGTGGAGCAGGATCGCTTATCCTTGCAACACGAGATCTTCGTCCGGGCACTCAAAGGAAAGTTGACAACCACAAAACTGCTACCTTCTACCCGCAGAATCCTCGATCTCGGCACGGGACCTGGCCACTGGGCTGTGTCCATGGCCCAGCAATACCCCCGTGCAGAAGTCGTTGGAATAGACATTACCGAGTGGGACATTGAAACCACCGAAGCTACGCTAGGCGAATCTGGAGTCACTTGGGAACTCGATGATCTCGACGTTTGGGGGCGAGAAATTGATGTCGACGATCTGATCACCAAACTCGCGGAGCTGGACTTGGCAACCAACATGATTCACCGCGATCCAATCGAGTCCCCAAGAAAAGTACACCAGGACCTTGGACTAAGCGATGCCACAAGTCCGTCGAATCTATCGGAAGAGTCCCTCACAATTGACTTGACCTCCTTGAATCCCCAGTCGGAACCAGGTTGGCATTTCAGCGATACATTTGAGCTGATCCACCTGCGAAATATGAAGGGGACTTTTACCCACTGGGAGGGCGTCTACGAAGAGATATATAAGAGTCTCTCGCCTGGCGGATGGGTCGAGTTGGCAGACTGGGACTTGGGCCAAGTACCCCTGGGCCCCGGCGACAGGATTGCAATGCCCACCTTGCGCAAGTTATACGTCGCTTTTATGGAAGCATCTTTCCGGTCTGGACGGCCCCTCGGTCTTTTCTACATGCATCACAGTTATCTTGAAGAAGCGGGATTCGTAGACATACAAACGACTCATGTCAACGTGCCTGTGGGGCAGTGGGCAGAAGACGAGGCGCAGAAATCCCTGGGCAAGATGATGTTTGTACTTGGCATGGAAATTTTTGAGCCTGTTTGCCTGCGTCTCCTCACGCGGTGGGGCAGTAAGAATAAAGTTTGGACTGAAGACGAGCTGAGGGCGGATGTGCGGATGGCACAGCAGGAGATTAGAGATTATGTCGAGCGATCGGAGCGTGGCGAGGTAGAAGGCTGGTGTGCGAGTTTCAAGTGGATTACCGCGAGAAAGAGTTGGCATGCTGACAAGTGAGGGGTGTTGTTGTTATCTTGGATACATGGGAGGAATCTTATTCTTATGCATCATTGGGCAACGGGCGGGCGGCATTAGTCGAGTTTATTTTCGTTGGCTTGCATGTGTGTTACTGAGCCGGAAGGTGGAGCCGTAGCATCGACATATAACGATGATGACTAGCCATATCATCTATCTTTTCTTGAATCCACACCAGATCTGGGTTCCATACCAAAAAATGTCGACAGAACTCTCGGCAACTGCGCTCTTCAATGTCAAAGGCATTGTGGCTGTCATAACAGGAGGCGGGTCAGGTAGTCCGGGCTTAGTTGACATAGCTAGACTCAGCGCTGAGCTCCACAGGTATCGGTCTGATGATGACAAAAGCGCTGGCTGCAAATGGCGCACACCGAATCTACATAGTCGGTCGTCGAGAAGATGTTTTGCGCGACGCCGCCAATAGCATTGATCCAAACGTCGTCATACCATTACCTGGAGACATAACCTCTCAAGACTCACTTCTCGGAATCGCGTCAAAAATTGAATCCGAAATAGGCTATGTAAATTTGGTCATTGCAAACGCAGGCATTATGGGCCCAAGGCCCCTCAAAGCCGCACCAGGCAACCCTTTGCCCTCAATCAGCGAGTACCGAGCGCACGCCCTTCAGAGCCCCATGCAAGATTTCACGCAAACCTACACTGTAAATGTAACGGGTGTATACTACACCGCCCTAGCCTTTCTCACGCTCCTCGATGCTGGCAACACCAAAGGCAACTGTGCCGGCGTGCGTTCCCAAATCATTGCCATCTCTAGCATCGGCGGCTTCTCTCGTCTCGCAGGTGCCTCGTTCGCATACAACAGCAGCAAAGCCGCAGTCACGCACATGATGAAGATGCTAGCTACATCGCTAGTCCCCTATCGCATCCGCTGCAACGTGCTGGCTCCCGGCATTTTTCCGTCTGACATGACGACAGGCATTATCGGGGGGTTAAATCCGCTGCAGAGCGGGACGCTAGACAAGAATGTTATTCCTGCGGAGAGGGCGGGTTGCGAGCAGGATATTGCGGGGGCGGTGCTGTGGATGGCGGGGTTGGCGGGGGCGTATTTGAATGGGAGTGTGGTTGTGGTTGACGGGGGGAGATTGGGGATGCTGACGTCAACTTATTGAGAGAATGTTTTCTATTTCTTCTAAATACCATGTATTCAATCAAAAGTTGCAAATATGTGAATTAAGAGTAAAATGAAATCTAGGAAGAGTGATTACATCACCATGTATCCCATCTCATCCCACCTCATCCTCGACAAGACGATCCCGCGCGCTGACTCTGTGCTAGCGGCAGCGGCCCGTGCCATGCCTGCCTTTTGCGGAGTTGAAGCCACACCTCCGAAAGCCCGCCAACGACTACTCGACTTGTTTTCTCTCCTCGATGCGCGCATGCTCGTTCGCCCACGCCAAACATGCCTGCACAACCGCACAGGCTCAATTCCAATGGTCTGGTCAACTCGCCGGGTTTTCTCGGAGCAGCAGCCCGCTTCTGGCAGGTGTGTGTACACTGTCTTGCATATGTTTAGAAAACTATTAACGGAGCCTTTTTCGGCTACAAGTAGCGCTCGTATGCTTCGGATTATGTAGGCATAGCCATTCTATTATGCGGCTATATACCGGTACGTCAGGCAAGAGGAAAGAAGAGACTCGAGATAAGGCTATAGGGAAAAAAAGAATTCACACCCGACATACAGATCCAGTTGGTCGCCGAGCCCTTTCACCGCATGTTCTTCCTCGATAACCTCGCCATTGGATACCCCCATGCAGAAATCGAGCGCGTCTCCGTCGGCTGGCTCCTCATCTTCACCGCCGCCGTCCCCCTCGGCCTCCTCATCACCTGGGCCCTCCTCTTCCGCCCAGGCTCCCACAAAGCTCACGTCACCATCCTCGGTCTAATCATCAGCCTAATCCTCACCAGCTTCATAACCGATGTAATCAAAAACGCCGTCGGCCGCCCTCGCCCCGACCTCATCGCCCGCTGCAAACCCGCCCCGGGGACCCCTGCCCATCAACTCGTCACATACGAAGTCTGCACGGAGACAAACCACCATACTCTCCATGACGGCTGGCGCAGCTTCCCAAGCGGCCACAGCAGCTTCGCCTTCAGCGGCCTCGGATACCTTTCCCTCTTCCTCGCCGGCCAATGTCACGTCTACCGCCCCCGCGCTGACCTCGCTCGCGTCCTCCTCGCCCTCGCACCCTTACTCGGCGCCGCCCTCATCGCCATCTCCCGCTGCGAAGACTACAGGCACGACGTTTACGACGTCACCGTTGGGTCACTGCTTGGTCTCGCAATAGCGCATTATACCTACAGGAGATATTATCCCGCCCTCAGAAATCGACTCTGTGACACCCCGTTTCCAAACCCGGCGGATGAGAAGGGCTGGGGGAAGGTGAAGGGGGATGAGGAGAGTGTGAGGGGGGCGCAGGAGTTTGAGCTTAGTGAGTTTGAGGAGGAGGATGGGGAGGGGGGGAGTGAGGCGAGGTTTCTTAATGGGGGGAGGAGATAGGTTGGTGGTGGGGTTTTGGAAATCTGTCTTTGGTCTGGTGTAATGGGTGGTTCTAATCTGAGTTCAACGTTTTTTTTCTACCTCGTCTAGCAACTTAGGTCGCTGGAATTAGTGATCAGGGTGTGTCAGATAGTTTAACGTACTTTTGTGCCATGTAGGACGTTTTATTGCATATGGTCAATGAAATTATATATAAATTCTCTTGTGAAACTTGTTATTATTATTTTTCCCCCCCCCGTCTATCCGCCTTTTTAGATTGCTACGAGTACTCTAAAGTGTGTTACTTTGCATATCTTTTCAATTTTTAATATACGCTTTTTTAACTATTCGGGGGGACTTGGCAATACCAACCTAGTTTACCTGTTTTTTTTTTCTCTTTTTAGTCTTCTTGTTTGAGACTCAATCATGTCTGTTACACACTGCTACTCTTTATCAAATTTATTTTGTAATCCGTGACTGCATGTGGGGGTTATTTTTTTTGGTGCTTTAGGGGCAGAGAGAAAATCAAAATCAAAATAAAATCAAAAATAAAAATAGAAATAGAAATAGAAATAGAAAGAGGGTGTTGTTGTTTTTTTTTGGCGATATGTAGGTGTGAAGCGGTTCATTGTGGTGTCTTCGAGGTATATGGTCTTTTTTTTTCTGTTCGGGCTGCAGTTACGTAACGAGATAGATGAGAATTATTTCTTTCACAAATCATGCTAATTCGCTAGAGCGATCTTGTCATTTTTGCATTTTGGGTATTGGGCATTTCTTTCCATATCCGCAGATGGATCGTGTGTATTGATGTGCTCCGTACGAGAGTTATGCGTCACGAAGATTAGCAAAGTTGACTTAGGTGAAGGAGGGTGTTTTTTTGACTACGAGATGGATTGTGGGTGTTGAAGGAATGGTATATTTGGGTTTACTGGAGCGTGAAGGTCCTGTTCGGAATGGCTTGGGATGTGCGGATTTGTAGGTATTTGGAGTGGGAGTGGGTGACCTTTTTTGTTTTGGTGAGGGAAATATGTAGGAGTGCTGCTGCAGAGATTAAGTAAACTTTTTGAATGAATCAGGGTGTTTATTTGATGTTAACGTCCTGTCGGGGTATAGAGATAGAGTAAGAGTGTTGGACACCGACTGATTCCACGCTATTGTCCTGCGCCTTTCCTCGACTTTTCTTGGAAGCTGTGACACGCCTTTGGCAGGAGATTTGTTATATTGGTTTGAGGTTTGCACATTTCTTCGATCCAGCCGTTGCTGAAATAAACAGAGCTCACATTTGGGACATGGGTCGGTACACACAAGATTATATTACTGTCTACAATGATACTACTATCTACCTTTGCTTTCAAGTCCAATTTACATCCCCGTGTCGATGCTAGTCTGTGCTTCCTTCCCTCTGCCCTATCTTGTTCATCTTTGCTGTTTTGTCTAAGCTTTGCCTAAGACAACCTATGCTTGTCTGGAGTAGATAGAGGCCCTCCATCCACCTCCGCAGATTTGGCCGGCGTCGCCTTGACACTTGGAGCTACACGCACCTCCATCGACCTTCTTATAACCACTCTTAATAGTGTTGCCACAATAACATTCCGAGCCAATTTCGACTCCAAAATAGGTGTAGTTCTGACAGATAGACGCACACATCTGGGGTGTCATTTTGGTGTCGTGCTTGCTGTGCTGCGCTAGCACTCGGCTGTTGTTGTCTTCGTAGCACCCGATATATCTGTAATTATTCTTCTGGTAGTTGGAAAATTTTGTGTTGAGTGCATCTTCTTTGGCCTTGCAGGAACTGTTTGCAGCATTAAGGTCGTTGACAGACTTTTGCTTGCATTGAGTGATCTCTATTTCCTTGCTGCTCAACTGCGCCTTGCAAGCACTGTTTGCAGCATTGATGTCGTTTGTCGACTGTTGCTTGCATTGAGAGATCTCCACGTCCTTATTGCTCAACTCCAATTTGCAGTTCTGATCTTGTTGCAAGGCATCCATTTCCGCCTTTTGACGGTCAGCTAGGGATGTTGCCTCGCATTCTGTGTGCTTCTCTTGAGCTTCGGTAACTTGGGCGGTGAGTGTTTTTTCGCGCTCGAGACAGTCGTCCTTTTCAGCCTGGCAAGTGTCGGGAAAGGGGTTAGGATTTCTGGAGGTATGGGCAGAGAGCGGCTCATTGTACATGACACCGTTGGAGCAGGAGCAGGAGCATGTGGGTACGTTCGATGGATCGGTACAAGCAGCTGCAGGCGCTGCACCTAGAGTTTTGTAAGCTTCGCGAGATGTTTTGGGTCATGAGCCTACTTACCGTTTTGGCACTGGTACGAGGTCCCAACAGGGTTGGCCGACCCGAGCACTTGCTGGGTTTCGAAGGAGTAAACGCCTACAGAAAGGGCCGAAACGAAGAATACCAAGGAAGCTCTCATGGTGTCTGTGTAGGAAATGGATTCAAGAACAAGAAGACGAACTGTGAAGGTATGGATGTAAGAACAGGAAGATGTTGTGTGAAGTGATAGATAAGTACAATGAGCTCCAAAGACATGCTTTATATATTCTTCATTCCTGGCAATCTGGTACCTAAATATTGACTAAGTCATAGTTCATTTCTTGATCCAGGTCATTGTGCTTTGCTCTGGTCGAGGGCGTTTCCTGGTCGTCTAGAGTTCAAGCTTGCAGCACAGCACCACCTGCGTATGATCTCTTACAGGTGCATGCACCGCTAAAAAGAAGTCCAAATTTTTGTTTAGTTGTGTTCGTATCTTGTCGATCCGGATATATACGGAACATGTGCGGAGTGCCGGCGCTAGTCGAGGAGTCTTGTTGCTTTTTCAAAACGATAATTCCATCCTATGCCCATTTTTGCCAATGGGCGGGATTGTTTATGACTTCGACGTTGCGTACCGAATGTTTCTACTTTTTGCAAAAATAACTGCTTGTGACCGAATCTTTCGCGTTTGGGCCAACGCATATAACTTGGACAAAGAAGAATATTCAGAAGTAGATGCCAGCAAATCAAATGATCGGTGAGTAGATATGCACATATTTCCTGGACACATATTGTATCCATATTGTCAGGGACCCCTGTCTTAATTGAAGGGCATGCATGTTTGAACATCTATCTATTCACAGCGGTGTGTTGCTTGGCTTGTGGACTTCAGTCAGGGTGACACTCACCATTGATACGGCTCATTCTTCTTTTCCCTATCAAGGATACCGGGACGCGAGGGATTTAAGCGATTTCCTAGAGGTATATAGAGGAGAACTTTTCCTTGAAGAAAATCTTACAGTCTTATTCTGCATCGACTATTATCTCCATCTTTGATCCTAAGAAACCGACAATATGCGTGCTTCCATAGCCATTATCGCCACCATCACCAGCCAAATTGTCCATGCACAATTTGGAATGGACATGTTCCCTGGTAGCATGATCTCTGGTAGCATGGCGACATGCCAAGACGGTGCGTGTTCACTCTCAGATGAACGAGTTCCACTAATACGTGATTTCAGGTCACGTACCTACTCTGACCTGTGAAAACCCGGTTCCAGAGAGCTGCGCTTGCACTTGTAGTGACGGATTGACATTCAACCAGTCCCGTCCTCCCGTCGTCGACCCTGTGCCTCCACCGGTAGAGCCACCGGTAGAGCCACCACATCAGCTTGACGAAAAACCCTGCACTACGGAAATCATCCAAAGCTGGGCGCGCTTGGAGCTACATCACAAAATCGGGTCATATGAACCCTCAGAGATGAAGACAAAAGACATTAGTTTTCCAGAGGACACTGTCTTAGTGGTAGCTGATGCGGCCAGAAGGTGCCAACACTTTGAGGTATCTATTGATGGAAAAGTGATTGGGCAGACGTATGGAAAGGGCCCCCTTGACTATTTTGATTGCGGAACCGTGGATAATTGTATAAACAACCACGAGGGCAGTGTTGGTTATTTCACGCTTCCCAAAGGTAAACCAAAACCTAACCATCACGGTGCCCCTAGATTATATCGTGGACAATTGGCTAATGCGAGTTGTAGGAAACCATGTTCTTGGAATGAGGTGGGTCGGGATTACAGAGCCATGCAAGGACATTGAAAAGGCCCTTGGGTATTTCCAGATCTACAAACCATGCTGATCTGTAGTATCTGAACCGCTTGTATTTTACTAGAGTGACTTAATTCTTTAGTAGACGAATTCCGAGGCTCGTCGGCTGTATAGGCAGCGTGGCAGATGTTGATCGTACATACGTAGCCTGTCTGTCATTAATAGTACGGAATTGACTCCTTTCGTGACCCTCTGCTTCCAAACCTAATATATCAGTGAACGTAAGATTGCTGAGCAGGTATTGGGGTCTCGTCAGCCCATCGAGACGCATTGCTACCTTCAATCAAAAGTAACCCTTGAATTTTTGCCCCTCAGAAAACCTGATTCTGCGTACCAGTCTGAACAGCACCATCAATTACAAGACAAAAAATGAACTATAAAAATTGCTATGTATACCATGTAAGTACAGTGTAGCGTCATCTCACCCAATAGACACGAGAAAAGTGTCTCTGCGGCGGTGTGCATGTCGTCAATAGTTACATACCCCAAGGCGAACAAGCACATATGATGCAGTACCAAAAAGCAATTTCACACAGACCACCCCGGCCGCGCTAGCCCAATTGCATACCCAAAATAATGATCGTTCTCCCTCGCTACGGGCCGGTCCCGCTGTTTCACTTGCAATATTTGCTTTACAATCCCACCACCGGTCATCAATCCAGCACAGGGTCCATTGGATCCCCTGTGCAACAAAATCCATCAGAACAGACAGCATCGGTGGTTTAGTGGTAAAATTAGCCGTTGCCATTCTTCAATTCCATCTCATCTTGAGTTGGATGACAAGGCCAACTTCGGCTAGCCCCGGGTTCGGTAAGATTTCTCCAGCCATACAAGGTTCAATTCGGACATACGACTAACAAATGAGTAGATTCCCGGCCGATGCATTACTCTTTCTTTTTTTGCTTTTGGGTGTGAGGAATGGAAGAGCGAGGTTTTTTCCTTTGCACGGGCGAGAGACCCACGTTGATGCTTGACCTGTGCGCACGGCAGAGGCGCTACAACGTGCGTCGGTAGATACGCGAGTTTAGCGTGGGGTTCCTTTTTGCTTCGAGGGACGCATCGTTCTCGGTATGGCTTGGAGCTCTTGTAGTCGATTCGAGACAAGAGACAGTGGTGATGAGCGATTCCAGTATTGTCGTCTCATGCTACATACATTGTCACTGAAATGTAGCACACATCCCACAAATAGATATTGTGAGACACATAACACCAGAAAGTACAGTGTTTCCAAGTTCGCCCAGGTAGCTTGCATAGCTTGTTCATTCGCAGGTATAGATTATCCTTTTTCAACATTATTTTCTTGAAAGCAAAGAAGGCGTGCATAGCAACGGTATAACAACACTGTCGCACCAGCATACAAATTCATCAACCCATCATTCCTGATCTTGTTCTTCATCCTGGTCTTGTTCCTCTTTGACATCATCCTTTCTCTCCTCATCCTCTGGAGGCATAGAGACTGGGAACGAAAGGTGTTTCCAATCCTCAATCTACAATATGTCAGTGCGTTCATGAAACGGTGAGGCATTTACATACCTCTTCGGTAATACTCTTCATACGGTCCCGGATACTTTCGACAGCATAGCTACCCAGGACCAGGCGCAGTGGAGGGTAGCTACAATGACCCAGTTGCCACATAAGCTCAGCGCTTTTCACGGCACTCACCGGCTGCCGGTCATTCAGCCACTGTACCATCCGCCGCGCGTGTTGTGCAGGACTAGTCAAATTGGAATATGGCTCGCTTGGATTTGGTTTTACGGAGAAGTGACCGTACCGCTTCGGTTTGGGCGGGCCTGCTCCGGAGGCAGGAGCAGAGGTATAGCTGGGGGCCATTACATTGTCGTCTGGCTCGTCCAGCCGAACATGGCCTGGTTCAACTAGCGTTGCTTTGATGTTGAAAATGTCCACTTCGTACAGCATGGACTCAATGAGACCCTCAACAGCATACTTTGTCGCGCAATACGGGCCAAGTCCGGGCACGCCGAGAGATCCAGCCGTAGAGGAAAATATGAGGTAGCGACCAGAATTTTGAGCGCGAAAATAGGGAAGTGACAGCTGGATGATATGCAGAGTGCCGAGGAAGTTGGTGGTGAATTGATTGCGCAGGTCGTAGTCGTCCTGGTCTTCGCAAGCTGCAATGACGCCATAACCGGTGCTGTTCGCTATCACGTCCACGCGCCCCCAATAGTCGATGCTCTTTTTGATCACCCAATTCACCGTGTTGCGCACTCGGACGTCACAAAGCAAGCCCAAACAATTCTTATTCTGCCACTTGTCCATCTGCTCCAGTGTATTCTCTTGGGACCATCCAACTGCAGTGCATTGATCGCCGTGTGCTAGAATCGCTCGAACCAGAGATCGCCCTATGTGGCCGGTCGCTCCAAATACCTGAGAACAGGCGTCAGCTACTCAGCGCGTGTCTAGTGGACAGAAGCGCGTCTTACAATCCATACTGCCCGCCTTGGAGGGTTGCTTTCAGATGGCGGTTCGCAGGTCGCAGGCAGTGTGAGGGTAGGATTTTGAATGGCCCCGCCTGGCGAGAGGCTTTGACTCAACGTGTCGAAGTCCATATGGACGTTGCGAATGTCCTCAATGAGATGTGATCCCAAGCTGTTTCGAGGCGGGGAGCTTAGTCGGCCAATCGGAGATGCAACTGCCGCTATCTCCGTGTTCAACAAGTGAAAGAGATGCCGAGGTGTATGAGGGACTCATAAGACACGTCATGAGTAGAATACTCCCCCGCAACATATGCCAGTCCAAAATGGGTTCCAATGTAACTGCGTCCAGCGATCAAAGCATAACGAACCTCCTTTCATCTATCAGGAAGCGGAGAGCGTCAATGGCCAGTTGATTAGGAAACGCCTGTTGCCGGTTCATGAAGTTGCTCACGAGGATGAAGAACATGATGAAGATGTCGAGGTGCATAGGCGACGTGAGAAAGAAGTGGTACGCCAGGAAGAGGAAGGCCTGAGTTCGATATCGGCTCTTGATTGAGCGAATTACTCTGGCCGCCTTGATGGCAGCAACGCGGTTCGCGGGAGTACGAAAGGCGACGACCTTTGAGAGAATTGGCATCCTAGGCAAGGGCGGAATATGGAGAGGGGTGGTCGGGTGTCTGGAGAGTCATGGGTTGCAGGAACGAGGTGTGGATCAGAGGTAGAAGGGGAGGTCACGCTTATCGATAGTAGCTTCCAATTCCCTGCGCGCCATCGTCCTTCTGGTCGATGCACAATTACGTCTTGGCTTCTTCTGTAAACAACCACAGGCCACATACACAACATGGAATTGTCAAGCAGGTAGTAGGAACATAGTCGCAAATATGACCCACGACGTTCCTGCACCGGTACCGCTGCCCGTCACACAGGGCGGCGCCTCATCGTACAGTAACCTCTCAACTTGGTTGAACCCCACTAACATGCCACAGGCTCTCCTTCACCCAGGGCTTCCTACTTGGCCAGCTTTCTATTGCGCTGCTAATCTTCTGCTTCATCAAATTCTTCATTTTCGGAGAGCCTCCCTCGGCCGATGAGCGCGCACTGCACCTCAATTCTCTGCGACGAGCTCGAACACTAGCTCACCAGCAATCGTACAAGCAGTTGCGAGCGCGGGCAAATTCAACGTCGCTCTCATTGCGACACAAGCCATCTAGGAGTATTATACGAAAGGGAGAGGAGAGCATGGGAGGGCCAAGCATAGCAACCATACTTGCAAAGACATATTACAATGTCAAAGGACACCAACCGGAGAGCTTAGACTGGTTCAACGTGCTCATTGCGCAGACCATTGCCCAACTAAGAGCGGATGCGCGACAGGACGATGCAATCCTCACATCTCTCACAGATGTCCTGAATGCCGGCAGCAAGCCCGACTGGATTGGCGACATCAGAGTGACTGAGATAGCGCTTGGAGACGAGTTTCCTATATTCAGCAACTGCAGAGTCATGCCTGCTGACGACGGCTTCTGGTATGGACCAGGGAATGCGGGGAATGAAAAAGAGAGACTCCAGGCCCGAATGGACGTGGATCTGAGCGACGTCATTACCATCGGCATAGAGACGACGTTGAACCTAAACTGGCCAAAACCAAAGTCTGCCGTTCTGCCAGTTGCCCTCGCTGTCAGTATCGTACGCTTCTCAGGAACACTGGTAGTCTCTTTCATACCCTCATCATCACCTGCGTCGACCCCCGCACCCGTCTCGTCACCAAGACTAGGTACACACCAAAATGCCTCTCCACGCCGTCCTTCATCCTCTTCCGGCGCGCCTCCACACCGTCCCACAACCCTCGCCTTTACATTCCTCGACGACTACCGTCTCGACCTCTCCGTGCGTTCCTTAGTCGGATCTCGATCGCGCCTCCAAGATGTACCCAAGATAGCGCAGCTCATCGAGTCGCGCGTACACGCCTGGTTCGACGAGCGCGCCGTAGAACCGCGCTTCCAGCAGATCGTGCTTCCCTCGCTCTGGCCCCGCAAACACAACACCAGAGGCGGCGCTGCTACAGCCGCCGGCGCCGATACCGCACTCCAAGACAGCGACGGCGAGGACGAAATCGCCGTCATGGAGGGAAACGGGACTGCTCCCCCTGCAACCTCGTACATCCCCAGCCCGATATCAGAAAACGTAACGCTGGAGGAACGCATCGAGGCTGAGGGCCAGAAGATGCGCGAAGCAGAGATTAGAGCCAGTGTCCGCAAACCGAGTTCGGCGGCTGACGCCAGAGAGCACCGCGCTGATGGCATGCGCTGGCGGGGTGAACAGCCCCGAGGACGCCAGTCTGCGAGACCCAAGTTGCAGAGTAGGACTACAACAGGGATTGCGGCGGGTATGCCGGGGGCTCTACCTCGATGATTGTATGATTAATATGATTTAGATGCATGTTTTGAATGTAAAATTAGATTGTTATTATTATTTTCTTCTTCTCTCTCCAGCAGCAGTAAATCCGGGGTGCAGGGGAAGAGGGGGGGGGGGGTTTATCATGCTGAAAAGAACCATGAAGACGAAAGAATATCCCCAACTTTGGGCTTTGCTACTTATTGTATCATATAGGCTTGATTAATACACCTCTTTCAAATTACCTCTCCCCCTCCTCCTCCTCTTCCCGTATGTACAGGAAAGAAAGGTGCAAGCCCACACACCTCATAAAAACCATGCAATCCGTTGCTAAACAGACAGAACACAGGAGAGAAAAAGCCGCAACTCCGCAACATGGGTATCCATTATTTAACTTTTTTTTCTCTTCTTCTTCTTCTTCTTCTACTTTTTCCATCTCTCCTTCTTTTCTTGCCTCCCTCCCACACACAAGCACTCACAAGCACACACACGCATTTATATATATATATATATATCTCCCCTCCATCTCCCAAACTTTCTAACCTCTAGCTCACTACTACCAAACCCAAACGACACTTCTCGCACAAGGTAGATAAGAGCAAAAAAAACAGCAACAAAAAAACAGAGGAAGGGGGTATGTCATTATTGCTTACACATGAGCAAAAAAAGAAGCATATGATTGTTTCCACCCGAGCAAGGATAAAGCAACAAGAGAAGAAAAAAAAAGATATAACATGGTGCAAGTGTTCTTTATCGTGACGTGATGTGTCAACGACAGAGGAAGTCTATTGCGTTGCTGGAACCTCGACGTTCATGGGTGTTTGGTCTGCTGGAAGTTGTGGCTTTGAAGCTTCTTCGGGTGCGCTATATGGCGGGGTTGGCGCTGAGAAGAAGCTGCTGTTGTGTAGTTTGGATGTGGCGTCTGGGTTGGCGGCGGAGAGTTCCTGTGACTTGGAGATGGCGGGTGCTGTGTCGGACTGCTGTGGAGTGGAGAGACCGTTAGCTGCTGAGAGTGCTTCTGGTTGCACTGCTGACGCTGATGGTTCGAGGCGGGGTGTAGTCTCCTTCTGTAGTGGTTGTGGCGGCTGTGCTTTGGAAACTGGTGCGGCATCTGGACCTGCACCGTTGCTCATGGTTGCGTCGTTGTCTTGGGCGTCAGAGCCTGGCTTACGGTAACGGAGGGTGACCATCAAGCTTGGCTCGTCATCTTCTTCCTCAGAGTCATCAGCACCGGCATCGTCTTCATCGTCATCAAGATCCATCTGATCAGGCTCTTCCTCGTCATCGTCTCCACCATCCCACGACGTTGCATCTTCGTCGTCTTCTGAATCCATCGCCCGCTTCAATGTACGCTCGTTGATCGCACCTCTATTCGCAGCCCGTGCAGCCCGACCATGGCCTGACTGCGGCTCCTCTGACACGTCCGATCGCACATAGTCACCAGTCGCCGGCGATGGGTGATCGGTAACTTGTCCACTGTGGAGCTTTTCTCCATACAGGCCGGTTGCGCGAGACCGTACCTGGCGACCACTCGCAGTAACAGTGGGGCCAGAGGGTGCAGCAGGAGTGTCGCGACCCGAATGCCGTCCAGATCTACGCACAGAGAGGTTGTCTGAGTCAAATTCATCCTCGTCGTCGAATGTATATCGCTGGCGCTTGCCACGGGTGCGGCCTTCGTACAAAGAGAAGCCAGGTTCTGGGCGTGTGAAGGCGTCCTTGCGCTGGCGAGTGTATTCACGTCGCTTTCGCTTCTATCGTGTAATGAGTATGAGTTGGGTATATATAGTTGATGTACAACATACGACTTCTGAAGCCTCAAACCGTGGGACAGCGTTGAGCATGCGCTCGCTTAGTGCCTTTGCTTCTTTGTGACCGTCGACCTCGTCTAGTTTCTTCGCTAGTGCCTGCACTTGTTCGATAGAACCAGCTACGCTGATCCATTGGACCTTTTTCAGCTTGGGATCGGTTTCGCGGTAGACACGGAAATGGGTATCGTTTTGCCCCTCGACTAGGTAGTACCGCCGCTTATCGCCGTCACGGCCCCAGGCCTGCACCGACAAGGGAATGTTTGTGTCTTGCCTGTCTTTGGTAGTCCGTGACTTGTAGGCCGTATTGATCATGTTCTTGACCTGCTCGTTCTGGTTAAGACTCCATAGACACAGCGAGTGGAGGAGGGTTATCTAATGCGCTCGTCAGCATACGACAGCGAGAGGGACTCCAAGACTGCTCACCCGCTCTTCCGGTGTCATGGTATTGAAGCTGCGACCACCGCTAAGGGGATTGGTGGTCCACTTGGTGGGCCATTGCGACCTCTGGGTTTGGATGGCTTCTTCGAGAGCCCGACCATAGTGACCTTTCCTACAGAAAACCACCACGTCAGTATGCATGCTATGTCATTACGTGCGGAGCAAGTGGGCGACCGGGAAATGGGTATTGGGAGCGGGCGAGAGGGCTGGACTGACTCGACAGGTTTCTTGCGATTGAGGACAAGACCAAGCAGGGAACACAGCAGACCCTCGACATCGGCCGATGGAGTGTGTTCGGCAACACCTGATTCAATGTCCTGTGGGCCGACATGGGGGGAGCCTCGGGGGAAGGCTTCGTTGAAGCGCGAACGAAACATGACAATGAACTGTGGCACATGGAATTAGTTTTGGCTTGAGGGAGAAATGGGTCGCGATTGCGACGCAACACGGCGCGTCTGGACGCGACTGACGCGTCCAATACGTACAGCAATGTCTGGATTGTCCTCTGGCACCGGTTCATGGGGTGGAGAGGGTTCCCGTTTCCTCGGGGGCGGAGAGGGCGAACGATGCTTGAAGAAAGTCAAGATGGTGCCATTCTTCTTCCTCTTTTTCTGGGGCGCAGGCTTTGCGGCCGTCGCCTGTGTGACTTGAATATCCATCTCATCGTCGGTAGGAGGCGCAGAAGACAGGGAAGAGTCCGAGTCGGCCATGGTTGCTAGAGGTGGTGGTTGATGTTGTTAGTTGGTGGTGGTGGTAGTTGCGTTTGCGGTAGCGGGCTGAGGAGAGGAACTGCGAATAGAACAAGGTTAGGGACGCATGAGGTAATGCCAGTCGGCTAGCACAAAGGATCGTCTAAAATAAATCTCCGTCGCTGGGCTAATCAGGGCAATGGGCAATTTCACGTAGAACTGCTCTTTGCGATGCAACAGGTCATCAACAAAGAGGGACGAGCATACTACATTTCTCCACGACGCAAAGTTCCTACCGCAAACATGTCATTGGCCTATATAATATTCTCGTCAAAGCGCGCCTGTCGACTTTATCTGGGCATTCTACATATTCCGTGCACCAACAGAAGCCTACTCCCACCACCGCTTCAGCGCTTCAGCGCTTCAGCACTCAATTATGCCTCGACAATGTCCCAACCATGCATCCCACAGTGCTGGCCCATCCGTTCGTCCGGATGAATCATATGTGCAAGTTAGTTATAGATGTCGGTCGGTGTTTTGTTGGCGTGCACTCCCACAACGATGGATCCGCGAGGAATGTGAGAAAGAAAGAAAAAAGTTCATTGCACAGGAGACGTGGGCGCATGGGCCAAACAAGCCTCGCAAAGTATGCGCATACTACGCGATGACTGTTTTGATGTTGGTGGGTACCGTCTGAGGCTCAAATGCACAGGTCCGTCTCTTGGCCAAATTTGGAGATGTCAACCTCATTTCGCATTCTCGTGCATGCTTTGATGCAAGTGGCCATGACGATTGGGGGTAGCGTCCCAGACAACATGGACGAGGTTAGTGTGTGATGCGGGTACGGAAACATAGGTGCAGGCTTGTTTGTGGTCCATGTGGGGTTAGTGTGGGCGAGTGTTCAAGTGCAGTGCATCGGCTTTGGGGGTTTGGTCGCACATGTGCGGGGGAAGGTGATGCGAGAAGGGTGTCGGTGTGGTGTCGAACTGGTTGAAGACCAAGGCGCGGTTGAGGTTGGGAGGTCGGTTTGACGCTTGCAGAGTCACGTGCACCGGCCATGGTTTGACAGCTACGTATGCGTGTGCGTGATGTGTAGAGTAGAAGAGAGGACTGCATCACTGCGAACCAGCGAGGTCTGTCCTGGGGATTGCTTGGCTCTGTAAGACCAGATTAGTGCAGCGTAGCTATGTGCACGTGTGTGTGTGTTCACATATATATATAGACGCGTGAGAAGCAGATACAGTACTGCACATACATATACAGTATACAGGGCAAACGACGTCACAGTGCACCGCAGCCTAGCGAGGCGGACAATACGATGGGCTGCAGACAAGACGGCGTATTCTAGAAGCACGAGGATGATGGCATCAGCAGCGGAAGGCTGGCTCGAGATAGGAAGGCGACAGCGATAGCGGACAAGCTGCTGCATGGCTGCATGGCGAAGAGTCTAAACGGCGCACTAGGAGGACCAACACAGGCCGTGGCGGCGCTTGGGAGGAGACAATCAGAGAATCCACGGCAAGACGAGGGAGGCGGCAGAGTGGTGGTTGGCATGTCATGGCGGACAGGGGCAGGGAAGAGTAGCGCAGAGCAGCGAGGGCGGCTACCGATGGGAGACGGGGGGTGGACGGGTGGGCATTGGCAGAGTCGAGTGGGCGAGTGAAACGCAGGTGTAGCAGAGGGCGAGGTGGTTGCGCAGCACACACTCTGCCCAACGTCCGATATCCTGACCCCAACCAACCAGCCATTTGGGGGGAGGGATGAGGTTAGTGGGCCATTTGTCGCCGCCGCCCCCCCCCCCCCCCCGCAGTGACGACCAGGGCTGGACTGCGCGCTGGCCCAGCAGAGGGGAACGGCTGCTTGGTCCTAGTACTGGTAGCAGAGTAGTAGGAATTATATTGTCTGCCCGTCCAGCCCAGCCCATGGGCACATCCATTCGTACATCCATACATATACTACTGCTGCTGTGACTTGCCCACCAATTCACTCCAGCCCCAACCTCAGTCCTCCGCTTGTCCCTCCCTTTCATCTCCCTCCTCCCAAACACTCTCTCCCTCGCCCACTCGCCCTCGTTTCGCTGCAGACTGATCGCCACCCCCCATCCCCGGCTCTATCTTTGGGTGCACGCGCAATCCGCACCCCTGCACACGGCCCAGCACTTGCTCTCACCACCCACCGCCTCCCCGCCTCGCCATTCTGCTGCTCACTCCTTCCACTCTGGCCACTTTTACCCTCGCTGCACTGCAACCATGAACATCAACAAGAAATTCGACCGCCTCAAGCAATGGACAAACGAGAAGATGGGCGCAGAGGCCCGCACCGGCCTGTCCGACGAGTTCAAGGCCCTCGAGGTGGAGATGAACCTGCGCCATGAAGGTATGCATGCTTGCTGCCCTCTCCCCAAGCCATGCTGACATCTCCTTCCCAGGCATGGACAAGATGCACGCCGCCATGGCCATCTACGTCAAGTCGCTCTCCAGGCGCGCAGAGGGCGCCGACAAGGAGAAGCAACTTCCAGGTGGCCATCTGGGCTCCTCCATGGTCTCTCACGGCGAAGACTTTGAGCCAGACTCGGAATTTGGCACCTGCCTATCGTGTACGCCCTTGCCTCGCTCGCTCGCCCGCTCCTTCCTTCCTTCCTCCTGCTAACCCCAACTAGCTCTGGGTCGAGCAAACGAGCGTCTGGCTAGAGTTCAAGAGACGTATATCCAAAGCGCCACTTCAACATGGCTCGAGGGCCTTGACCGCTCTCTAGTCCAAATGAAAGAGTACCAGGTACGTCACCACCTCGAAGCCATGCCATTCTTCTCACAGAAGCTAATCCCACGTAGGCTACCCGCAAGAAGCTCGAGCAACGTCGTCTGGCCTATGACACCTCACTCGCAAAGATGCAAAAGACCAAAAAGGAAGATTTCCGCATGGAGGAAGAGCTTCGTTCACAAAAGGCAAAATACGAGGAGACTAGCGAGGAGGTCTTCCGAAGGATGCAGGACATCAAGGAAGCAGAAGTCGACATGGTCCAAGACCTCACCGCTTTCCTCGAGGCAGAGTTGAGCTACTATGATCGCTGTCGTGAGATCTTGCTCAATGTCAAGCGCGAGTGGCCTGTTCAGTAAGCAAATATTGATCAGCAGGGCGACCAATTCGGAGCTGACACAATGCACAGGGACCTTAGGGCAACCCCATCCCGCCCCTCGCGCTCCCGGTCCAATACCGCTCACGGTTACGCCGAACGTTTCAACCCGGTCGAGGAAGAGCCGGAACCTGAGGTCCCACGAATGACCATTCCCAAACTGACCAAACAGCGAAGTCGTTCTCCAGGCCCTAGCCCTTCCCAGAGTACCTATGCTCTGCGTCCTTCTATTAGCCGCACCTCGACGTACGATGATTCCAACAGTTACCGCGACGACTCCCCGGCTCGCAAATTGTCTCGCGCACCCACTGAATCCTCCGTCATATCCGCTGGCCGTAGTAGCCTTCGTCCTGTCCGCCAGACTAGCAGCAATCAACAAAACACCTTTGCTGACGATTATGACGACGATTATGCACTATCAAATGGAAGTGGGCACAGACGTGACAGGTCGCCGCCCAGTCCCGACACCACCTCGTCCATAGGCAGCGGACGCGGTAACGTTGTGTCTCGGGCTGCAAGCTGGACGGCGGCGGAACAGGGCGGCAACGCCAAAAAGGCTCCTCCCCCACCACCTCCGTCGAGGTCCAAGAAGCCTCCGCCACCTCCGCCCATGAAGCGAAGCACCTTGAGCGAATCCCAAGTGACGCGCTACTAGTCTCCTTGATGAATTTCTTTTTAGTTTGATATACTTTTGTACATCTCGTCTTAGTTGCTTGCTGACGCAGCATGTGGAAATTCACAGAGTTGGTATTTCGTGATTTAAAGACCTACACACTAGACATGTCTTGAAGCTGCGTTTGGTCGGGGGGGATGGGTGGAGCAAAGGGAATTGAAGAAGAGGAGGAGAAGAAAAAAAGGACGACTGGGGGAAGGAGGGCGGCATCATCTTCTTCAATTGTTCTTGGGGGAGACTGCAGCGCAGTTAATTCCCCGCTGCACTTACGGCGTATTTTAATACTTGTCTTCTTTTTTTTCTTCTCTTTTCTATCTGATCTTTTGATTGTGTACATGTGTGTTTGGTAAGCTGATCCTTTTTTGTTAAGAGGGGTGGCCGAGGTCACGCGATGGGGGGGTTGGTTAGGGTTTTCGATAAATATGACGAAAAATATAGAGTTCTGAGATGACGTGCATTACTTTTTTTCTGGCTTTCCTACAATGCTTACAATCTAACCCCTCCTCCCCCTTTTTTTCCCTTTTTTTTTCCCTTTTGCTCCGATATAGTTTACCAAGGAGAAATCCAAGTAACTATTGATTTTCTTTTTTGGTTCCAACGTAATTTTCCCCTCTTCTCTCTTTATGTTTATGTATGTGTGTGTGTGTGCTTAATCCGCAGAATCAATAAAACTTCGGAACATCAGTCGTCATCGTGTCTGTGTGTGTGTGTGTGTGCGTGGGTTGTGGAGCGACCAGACTGGACTGGACTGGACTGTTACCAGGGGGTCAGGGGGGCCAGAGGGCAGGGGGGTTGGGGAAGCCTCTATTCATAGATTCGGACGCTAGTTGTTATCTGGATACGAAAAGGGTCGTTTTGCTGTTTGGCAGGGTTGTTGTTGTTTGGTGCAGAAGGAAAAAAAAATATAATACTTTATGTAGCAAAGATGCAGAATTGTACATGAAATACCATGTGCAATACGAAAGAACGGGTTATGTATGGACGAATGGTCTATTCTTGGGAGATTCAAAGTGTATATGCTGAGTATGGTAGGATAATGACATCTCTCTTTTCTTTGGTTGGTTGGTTGCGTCGTCTAAGTCTTCTCAATGGACAAATGGCGTGAACTCGGTAAACATCTTCGCCCATGGTATGATCATCATCATCATCATCATCATTGATGTTGCGTTGGGAAATTCCAGTTTTCCTAGTTGACAGTATTAGTAAATAGTAGACCAAGAAAAAAAAGGGGGAAAACAAAACTTACCCATTGCTGCAACCCTCCATTCGGACTAGCAGTACCAAACTCATTGTGATGAGTGGTCGGATCAACAGGCACAAAAATGGCACCGCCTGTATCTTGTGCTCCTGCAGCTCCCATTCCAGCCCATACGTCAAACTCGTCTTGTACACTGCCATTTACACCACTGCCACCACCATTGCTGCCGCCTCCATTCAAACTGCCCAATATACTATCAAAATCCACATTCAATCCATCTAGCGTCCCGGCCGTGGGCGTCCGTTGCAACTGTCCATGGAGATGTGAAGAGGACGACGTAGACTGCGTATGTTGGTGACCCCCACCACCAAAGCTGGGACTCGTGACGGAGCCTCCAAATGACGTTAGAGGCTGCAGCGTAGGATGTTGCTGCGGCGCAATCTGTTGGCGTTTCTTGTCGAACCCCTTCATCACGTAAAACGCTTCTAGGTTCTCCTTGACTGTGAATAAAAGGTCTGAGCAGCGCTCTCGCACCCCGACGCCGTAGCAGTGCCCGAAAATGTGATCGATAATCGTAGCCATGCGCTCTTTACGGGGGAGATCGGGCGTGCGGTAGAGCTCCGTCAGGAGGAGTAGCACTGCGTGGTATTGCTGGTAGGTTGTGGAATACCAGGCCCATGGAGCAAGAGACGGCAATGTGTCGAGCGTTGCGCCAATCTCTAGTGTCGTCAAAGCAGCTGTTAGGAGTACGTCGCGTAAGCGATTTTCAGACTCGGATCGTGGCTGCAGCGAGGTTTGAGGCAGATGCCGGTAGAGAAGCATCGAGTCGCAGCGGGACATTAGTAGTGTGGCCACAAGACCTGCGTAACGCTGTATCGGGACATTTGCATCAAGGTATTGCAGGTACTTGGACTGGATCTGGCGTTTCTTGGCTTCTACCCGGGCACGTAGATCGTGCAGCGTAATGTGCTTGCGATCCATTTCGATTCTACCGCGGAAAATGAGACGGTGGATCTCATTGCACTCATACCTGATCAGCGATAATGTAACATCTGTCCATCCGTTTCTCGAAGTAGGGTTCTGCTGCCAGCTCGAGCTGCCAAACTCAAAGACGTCATCGTCGACGTTCAACGGTAAGGCAATGTCAAAATCGTCTGATCGGATAGATGGGTGGGGACCTTGGGCCTCTGCCGTCTTGAAATCCAGGAAACATATCTGGTACCATAGTAAGGATCGAACGTGCCTTTGAAGAGGAGTTAGGCTGTTAGCTGAGCTGTGGCTCATACGATGGATGCCTATGCATTGTGCTAAGCGAACAAGTGCGCCCACCACCACAGACGTCGCCCGAGATATCTGGGCTCGGCAAAGTGGTATCTATCATTGTCAACAAATGACCCACACTGTAGTCGTAAACTAATGACATACCAAATAAATGGTCAAAGCTTGCAAAGTACGTATATTAGACGTCTTGGCCCAATTGGCGCGCAGCAGTGCTCGTTCCGTAGCCTTCTGCAACCTCAAGAACAGATCCTCTTTTGTGATACCAAACTGCGACTTTGCCTGTAAAGGCGAAACAGACGCAGCTGCAGCCATGCATACTGCCAGAATCAATGCTGTACACGAGTTCTGATTCGGGTTGCCAATCTCAAGATTCATCCAGAAGCGTTCAAACAGGCGCTTGAAGGACGGTAGATGCAGAACATGGGCGAGCGGGCTGACTGCCTGGGCATATCGCTGGAACAGGGCGTCTGCCTCCATCTTGGTTGGCAGCTGTGGGGGATCCACATCGTCGTGCTGACGAAGAGACAAAGAGCCACCTAGTAACAAGTTCAAGGAGGGCGCAAGCGAGGGCATTTGCTCGGCTGACAAGAGGGCCGATGACTGTGTTGCCCTCTGTCCTGCGACTGATGAAGATGGGGTGAAGCCCTCTGACAAAAGCTTGCCAAGCTGCACGGCATTTCAGTTTGTGTCCAGAATGCAATAGAAAAAAGGAGCAAAAAATAGAAGAAAGAGGCAGACAATACCTCTTCGGCATACTGGGGACGAAAGAAGCCAGTGACATTTTCGCAGATGATCATCCTCCCGATGCGAATGGTGAGATCGGTGGCAATCTGGTCCTCGTCGTCGTTTTCATCCTCGTAGACGTCGTCCTGCGTCTCCTCGGGCTCTGCGGGCAGACGCTCCCAGGCGTCCGTCTCGGGCTCGACATCCTGCTGGTAGGCCTCCCACTCGTAGTCGCGAGGCGGGGTTCCGGGAGTGGTGGTGTCGACGGAATTTGCGTTGTCATAGCCATCGGGGAGGCTTGCACTGCTTTGGGTGCGCACGGGGAGGTTTTTGGTCCAATCTGGGACGGTGACGGCAGAACCAGTCTTGCTCTGGGCGCGCTCGCGCTGCTCCCTCTCTTTCTTGCGCGCCGCGCTCTCAGGAACGGTGATGAAGACGCATTCGCGGCCGAAGGCAGTGCAGTTTTGGCAGGGATGCGTCTTGGAGCATCGCGACTTACGTGTGCGGCACTCGACACAGGAGTTGATGGGGCGTGGATTCCTCCGGCGGACCACACGAGACTGCAAGACCTGTCCTTGTTCTGGCATGTCTCACGATCGTCATGTTTGCGCCATGGGGTCTGAGGTGGGAGGGTGGCTGAGGTGATGGAGAGGAGGACTCGGAAGTCGGCCCGCCGTAGACCCCGGCCGTCCTCTGTCCAACACTGGCTGGCAGGGCGCTGGGCGGTGCTGGGCGGGCCTGCACGTGTTCAGCCTTGTCGGACGACTGACCTGCTCGGCTGTGGCCGACTGAGACCAAGAGCAGATGCAGACTTTTCGCCGCCTTCCAGCCCATGCAGGTACCAGCCAAGCCATGGTTACTACACCCATGGACAGCGTACACAGTAGTCTACATTCGACCCTCTGCATGGCGCGGCCGGGCGACCATTCATGCAATCAGAGCGACTCGTGCGTACTTGACTGCGGGGCAGACATCATCAGGCGTGCCCACAGGGACGACCAACGGCTTGATTGCATATGTTGGGCACCGCTATCGGCCTAGACATGCATACATACACGCATACATACATACATAAGCCTGCTCCTCCTACCACTCGCCTCAACGCCAGACGCCATCATCCTTGCCGGCCCAGCCCAATAGTACATGCTGCTTTTATCGCGCAAAGCTAGCCCAACGGTGTCCTTGTGCTTGCAGCCAACGGCGTGCCATCATCTTCCCAGCTCGCGCTTGATCCGCGCCGCAGCTGATGTCGGAGCCGGCTCAGGCCACGAGTCAACAGCATCCTCAACTTCCTCCAAGAACGATGTGCTGTTGTGTACTGTGGTGCCTCCGAGCACTACACGAACACCTGGCGAACTAGCATTGACCTGCGCTACCATCTTGGCCTCTTCGTACGTCGTTCCCCCTACCATGAAGATGATGATATCCTGTGGCTTGTCCTTGGTCGACCCCCCACCCTCTACAAATGGGTACACTTGCTGGCTCAAGCGGCCTTTGATCAGATCCTGCAGCGTCGCTTCCAAGCGGGGCGAGTGCTGCGTGTAGACATTCTCTACGCCCTTTAAGCCCTTTAGTCGGTCTCGTGCACCCCCAAAGAAGGAGCCGGCCTGGAACAAATCAGGGACACCCCCTGCCCCAGTCGTCACTTGCAGCGAGTCGTGGTAGGCCATGAGCTTTGTGATCAAGTTGATGCGCTGCCGTGACAGTCCTCCAGCAACAGCAAGTAGATCAAGCAGCATAGCTGTCGAGTTGGAAGACGTCTTGGAATACCGCAACGCATAAATGGCAACCAGCCGCAGCTTGTTGTTGGCCGGCACGTTCGGATCCTGTATTATCTTCTGTAGTGACTTGACGTCGTTGGAGTGGTTGTCCGTGCATGCTAGACTTTGCTCGAGCTCACTAATGTCCAGCAGACTCTCCTCTCCAACCCGCCTACTCAGCTCTCCAACCAATGTGACGTGTTTTGTGACATTACTCGAGAGCTTGCGGAACTCTGGAAAGTCTTCGATGAAGCGCTTCATATCTGCTATCGAGTCGAGCTTCTGAGACCCTTGCTGCTTGGATGCAAACTGCTCGACATACTCCTTGGCATTCTGACCCAAGTCGCCAAAGTTGAGGTACATGTTCTTTTTGAAAAAAGGGTCTTGTTCTTGCGATAGCACAATTTCCTTGAGCTCAGGCCGTATGTCCGGCACGTCGCGCAGGTCCACCCTTCCGTTGTGTATGCCGAGTAGTTCGTGCACCATTGCCTGGTACGTCCACTGCGTCAGCAGGGGTGTGACAGGGTCGTCCCTCCGGTCGACTATTAGGAGAATGGGCGGTGTGTCTGTCTTGCGGAAATCGAACAACTGATCCTCTTGGGTCATGTGGTATCGGACCTCGGTGGCTAGCTTCTTCACAAGCAAACTGTTCTTTTGATACCTGATCAAGGGCTTCTTCTTAAGCGCCAACAGAAGTGCCATGACAGCCTCAGTCGATCGCTGCAATGAATCCTGGTTCCAGGCATCTGGACTGGTGCTCCATATGCGGTGGTCGGGAAAGCCGAGGCCGAGAGACATGAGGTCGGGGTTGATTACGAGGAAGTCTGCGAAATATTCCTGGACAGCACGCACAACCTCATGGTCGTCTGCCTCGGCAAGGCGCTCGAGCGAGGATTTCTTGATAATGTTGCTAAAGTCTGTTGGTGTCAGCAATTGCCCATAGATCTGAGCCCCGCCTAGGAAACGCACATATGTTGTATTCACCATACTTGGGCTCTCGCAGCTCTTCAATCAGGCTCTGAATGGACTCGGGCGAAGGCCGTACGAAGCACAAGCAGCGAAGATGTCGCATCTTCTCGCGCTTCTGGTTGTCCAAACGGCTACCGCAGCATTAGCCATGTATCGTATCATGGGTCGCGGGGAAGCGGTACTCGGTGAGGTAGACCTCATGGTTGAGGAGGGCAGACTGCGTCGTCGCTGTTGACAGAATCGAGACCTATGCCATGTAAGTTTCTACCACGCAGCTACCCGGCAGAGCAGACAAACCCACAGTCTCGTTGTCGAGCAGGAGGATCTTCATCTTGGCCGCGGAGGTGCCGGTCGCCGCACTGTCCCCGGCTGACACCATTTTGGTGATATAGCCGGAGACGGCTTGAATAACATCCATGAGGGCGAGTGCTTGCTCTTCGCGGTTTGGAGGGGTTCTGATTAATCTTTACGTCGCCGTTCAGCAAAGTCGTGGTGTTGCGCGCTCTTCCATGGTGACGCGGTTGTGGCTCAAGCTAGGATGTGGCTTGAGCGCAACCCCAGGTACGTACGTACAATACAGTACAGTACTACATACAGTGCGCTATCACGTGACTATGCATGGACACTGCAGCCAACCATCCCCCACCAACGTCCCCTTCGGAATTTTCTCGGGCCGCGGAGGAGGTACGCAGAAATCTCTAGAAATACAACCTGGATTTCTGAAGCGTATGCTCGATTGTATGATATTTTCTTGGGACAATATTCACATTGTCCTAAGTGAAGACAAACAGGCGTTGTGCACCCCACCACTATTGGGCACTTCACTGCGATCATGTGACAATACCATATCATCTTGTTCCCGTATCCACATTACCCCCGCACGGAGTATTTGATATGCATACAGGCCAGGATATTACAAAGCCACCAGGTGCTGTAGATAAGCGTATTGCTTGAGTCGATAGCCTCTTTTCTGCTTGATAATCAATCAGGAGCGCATGCTGAAGATCCACGAATCGGTGACGTCGTTCTGAAAAGCTATATAAGCATGACTACAATATGCATTCATCAACATACATCAAATACCTGCCTTCATCCTCATCCTCCAAAACTTACTTACCTTACACGACAGAAACACTACAAAGCTATCTAACATGCCAAAACTCTTCATGTATTACCACACCGATGAGCCTGACATGGAATGTTTGCTGACAAACCTCAAGCACCGGCGCGACCGGCTACATTGGAGGCGACGCCCTCTATGCTATTGCACATACCTACCCCGATCTCGAGATTACCGCTTTGGTCCGTAATAGCGACAAAGGCGCCAAGGTCGCGGCACAATACCCCAAGACTCGCCTCGTTTATGGCACGCTCGACAGTACTGACCTCCTTTCTGAGGAAGCATCAAATGCAGACATTGTTCTTCATTGTGCCGATTGCGACCATCTGGCTTCTGCCCAGGCGCTGGTTGCTGGCCTTGCTCGCAGTGGGCGAAAGTCTCATCTCATCCACACCTCTGGCACCGGCATTCTTTCATTTGCCGATTTTGAAGAAGATACCTACGGTGTTTCCCGAGAAAAGTTCTACGATGATTGGGACAACATCACTGCAGTCACTTCTCTCCCAGATACCGCTGTTCATCGCAATGTCGACAAAGTTATCCTGGGCTCCCACGAGGCATCGTCGGGCAACATCCAATCGGCAATCATTTGCCCTCCATGCATCTATGGCCCTGGGCGCGGACCTGATAACAAGCGCAGCGTGCAAGTGTACGACATGACGAAGGCCATACTGAAGCGAATGAAAGGTTTCGTCGTAGGAGAGGGAAAGAATCGATGGACCGAGGTGCACGTCCAAGATCTCAGCGAAGTATTTCTCGCGCTTGTAACAGCGGCTCTGTCGCCTGATGGCGGCAAGGCTACCTGGAACCAAGAAGGATACTACTTTGCAGAGAGCGGAGAGTTCTGCTGGGGCGACCTCGGACACAAGATTGCCGACATTGCCTTCAAGAAAAAACTCATCAACCACGAGGGAATTGACAATGTGAGCAAAGAAGAAGCGGACAAGATGAGACCAGCCGGCAGTTATCTCTGGGGCACCAATTCCCTTTGCAAGGCTGTCAGAGCTAGGAAGCTGTTTGGATGGACGCCTAAACAAAAGAGTCTCTCTGATCTCTTGCCAGAGATTGTCGATGATGAAGCCAAGTTGCTCGGCCATATCCGGCAGCATGCTGAGGAGGCGGCTGAGGGACGCATTCTGAAGTAGTGTAGATATAGCTGGCGTAGAATAGTCGAAATTGCTCACGTTGTGTCAAGTGAATATGTTTAGCGTGCTCGCATTTCCATTGCCATTCCTCATCATGACATGAGCCTCGGCAAAGCCGTTCGAACTTACGTCATGCATCTCAACCTCCAATTGCTTCGTCTTCTCCAACCTCTTGAATTTGGATCACCGGAACTTCATCTCTGCGCATGTAATATTCGAAGCCGATCCCAGCATATAGATTAAAATGCCTCTCTGCACGCTGCATTTACTGGCGCTCCACGCCACAACACCAAACTCCGTCTCAACGTTTCTTTCCACACTCAAAGCAACCGATATCTCACCTCTAGTTGTATCCCGTGTCATCCGCTGGATTATTCTCCCATATAAGCTCTCAACCGAACACCTCCTCGCTCGAAACATCCACTGGGACCTCCTCCTCATCTTGCCCTCCACAGACGCTCTGCCATTAGATCTCACCAACCTCATCGAGCATCACTGGAGCGTTACAGCCGGTGTACCTTCACGCCTAGTCAATGACTTTGCGTCAAAGAACAACAAGCTCCTACATCCGGATCCCCAGGCTGTACCTGCGCTTCAGCAAAATGTCAACCAGAAAACGACGCAATCGAGTCAAAGCCTGGAGTTGAGCGAGGAGCTGAACACGTGGATTCAATCCTTTGTCAACAGCGATTCCAAAGAAGCAAAAGGCGCAGTCTCAATGTTCAACCTACTTGCTTTCAATCCTGGTATGAAAGAGGAGTATCTGAAGTACGGCACTGCGTTTGCACGTTCCATTGGCTCGAGGCATGGTGGTAATGCAAAGATTGTCGGAAATGTCACACATGTCAATCGCGAATCTACCAATAGAACATCCACAAATTCTACCGGCAATGATGATTGGGATGAGATTGCTCTCGCACATTATCCCAGTATATTGCATTTCAGGGATATGCTGGCCAGCGAGAAATATCAGGCGGTCAACAAGAGGCATCGTGTGCCCAGTTTGAAGGATACGTGTATTTTGATGACGAGTGAGATTGCGGTCGAGGAGTTGGAAGAGGGTATGGGAAAGGCGAGATTGTAGGGAGGCGGACCACCTTCGCGACGTCGACAGCGTGGGAATGGTAAAATCTCTAGGGCTTGAGAGGTGTACTAGAATGATCGAAACTCCGTTGGGTTAGATGTCCCTTCTACTTTACAGGAAGCTTTACTCTCAAAGCAAGGTTCGGCCGAGAGTAGTTTTGCCCAGGGTCTCGTAACCCTGTGCACCGGCACACGATAACCGATTGGCCTCCACTATCATATATCCACGTAGACTCGTCTAGCCACACTTTGAGTGCAACTATGACCTCCGGAAATATTATGACCTCTGTGAAAACCGTCCCCCGCACTCCGCCACTGGAAAACCTTCCTTTATGCACTACCTTTCATGCCCATGTTACCCAGTGCTTGGTTGCATGTTACACAATTATGTAGCGCATTGATAGGGGGCGCGTCCAACTTGAAATATTGGCGCTCCACTATAGTACACGAGGAATCCCACCATCCGTTCCTCCGAAAGACGAAAAAGAATTTCCTCAAATTAGAGGAGTACTGTCGCAATCGGATCAGGGAAGAATCTTGGCTTGCGACTTTGTTGCAGATCATTTTTTGTGAAACCTGCGAATTAAGTAGACAGGGAGACGGTCGTGTGATCTACACATTGGCTAGGTTCCTCTAGAGTCTTGGCATGACCCCCCGTTTACGTAGTAGTGCCTGTACCCTTGAAGCTCAACCTAAAGATTGAAAATACGATTATTTTCTACGGACAACTTTTGGTTCAACCGGGCGATTGTCGTGTGGCTTTTGGGGCTGGCTGTTACCAAGCCGTAGATCATGCTACACATAATCTCCTACCTTTTTGGTTTGGCGCATCTGTATCCTGTCTGTCACGTAGACCCATCCAGACGGGTGAAAGGATGACCTTGGAACACCACACTAGCTTGGATGCTGTTGGTAGGCGACCATGCTACGGAACACTAAAAAAATGCACTTGTTGAGTTCCTACAGTCGTTCCATCGTTGACGAGTTGTTGCTGCATATTACAAAGATTCACCAAAATAAGGCCCGCGGAAGCTAATTTGGTATCTATGAACGATCAGGATTACGAGCATGAGTACCAACTATATCTTTTCTTGTTCATTTGAAATTAGAAATCACCCTCCCTTTTTCTCTCACAGAAAACCAGGTATGATTCCTGAAATAGATTAATCGGCATCCCAACCCATTGGGGAACTTGCCTCTTCTGACCGCTTCGGCCACTAGCAACGTCATCACTGCGGAAAGTCGTACGTATGTGCACTATCAACAAGAGATGCTGGTTTTTGAGAAAAAATAAAAGCCTCAGAACTAACCTCATTAGGTTTGCAACTTGCGACTGTAGAGCCCTGGTATACCCAGTGTGCATGATAATTTCATCAAGTGCGCAAGAGGCAGATCAAGGTCCCCGACCCCCCGATGCTCCGCGTTTCCAGCAAACAACGCATGACCAACGATCTGCGACCCTTAACGATGTCCACTTAATGATGTCCAAGCCCCTATGATAATTCTGAGCGAATACATATAATATTGGCAGATAGCCTCCTCTGTCACGGCTGTAGTCCTTCTACATCAAAAACCACAGGGGCATTTGGCAGTATCCACACAATTATCAGCCCTCCCTCTTATTACTTTCAGTCTGTAGTTTGTTTCTCAAAACTGCTATAAAATTATTCTAGGGTGCCGCACACCCTTTGACGTACCACATGGTGAACGTACTGCCCCTTGTGGGCTCGATTATTGGAGGCGTCAGTGCAGCTCCTCTGCACTTTGCTTTTCCAACTTGCTAAGTAAATACCCAGGCCATCCTCCAATTCTCGCTCCTTGCTATCTACAATATCTTCTTCCATCCTTGCCGTAAATGTAAGAGTTCTTTTCTACTTCCTACATAATACTTCTGCTAATGCTCAATCAAAGTCCCTGGCCTAAAAATCGCTGCAGCTACAGGATTGTATTATCATTACAAATGTCTACAGGGCGAGGAAGTTGCATGGGAGGTGGAAATGCACAAAAAGTATGGAGAAGTTGTCCGCCTTGCACCTGATCGATTGTCTTTCGTGACAGCCGGAGCCTGGAGAGACATTGCTGGTCCCTCAGTTGGGAAACGCCTTGAGAACCGCAAGGATCCGTCAGCGCTTCCATCAAACATCAAAGACATGCGATCTTTGGCTTCAGAATATCGAACAGAAGTCCACAGGCCGCGACGAAGATTGTATCAGAATGCGTTCAGCGATAAAGCCTTAAGGAAACAAGAGCCCTTGATTCTCGGCTATGTCAACATGCTCGTCAAGGTTATCAAGGAAGCCAGCACAGAGAACCTAATCAGCAAAGTGGATATCCAGAAGCTGCTCAACTGCTGTACATTTGACGTAATGGCAGACCTAACATTCGGGGAACCTCTTGGTCTACTCGAGCAATCCGAGTTGAGTCCATGGGTCGCCCAGATCTTCAACAACATAAAGAACGTTTCGATCAAGCGCGTCTCCCTTGATTACCCGATCATGGAGCGTATAATCAAATTAATCACACCCAAATCTCTCAAAGCCGGAGGACTAGCACACTACGAATACTCAGCCCAACGGGTCGAGAAGCGCCTCGCAAAGGGAATTGACATTGGAAAACCGGACATCTGGTCCCTCGTCATGACCAAGAACGAGCAGGGCGAGATGCCAAAAGAGGTCATGATGGCAGATGCTGGGACGTTCATGGTTGCAGGAACAGAGACGACGGCTTCGACTCTCAGCGTCCTGTTCTACCTCTGTCTTACGCATCCAGAGCAAATGCAACAGCTCCAGACCGAAGTGCGTGCTCTACGCGAAGACGAACTGACGCTCGATACCCTGCAACACCTACCCTTCATGTCCGCATGTATCAAGGAGAGTCTGCGCGTCCACCCCGTCGTCCCTGTTCCGCTCTTCCGCAAGACGCCAGCAGGCGGCAACGCCATTGATGGCCAGTGGATCCCAGAAAACGTAAGCAACATCATTGTACATTCAAAACTTTGATCTTATTTCTAACACATGGTAAACCAGACTCGCGTCGCAGTCTCCCAATTCGCAGCCTACCACCACAGCACCAACTTCAAAAACCCAGACTCCTTCCTTCCCGAACGCTGGCTCCCGGGCACGGGATACGATGCCGATCACAAAGATGCATTCAACCCGTTTTCGCTTGGACCCCGCAATTGTATCGGTCAAAAGTCAGTCTTCTTTCTTTTTTTTCCCCGACAAAAAACAAACGCCAAATATATAATGACAATGGACTTTCGCTGACACAAATTGATAAAAAATTTAGTCTTGCATATCACGAGATGCGCATCATTCTCGCAAAACTAGTGTGGAATTTTGATTTTGAGCTGTGTGAAGAGAGTCGAAATTGGATTCAGCAAAAGGTGTATATTCTGTGGGATAAGCCTCCGCTTATTGTCAAGGCAAAATATATCAGGGGATGAGAGAGATTAGCTTCGGTTGCCCTTTCACCTTCACGACTATTTTGCATACACTGCAGATGCTGGTGGCGCGCGAAGAAGAGGAAGAATTTTTGTCTTTAAGTTACATTTCCGTTTGGTATTTGGGTCTAGAGGCAACTACTACCTGGTAACGATTAGAATTCGACTAGTAGCGATAGAGTTATCTAGCCAGCCAGGCATATGTATTAAAATAAGCTACAGAACAAAGCCGCCAGTATTTACACTCTGCCAACTTCGCATAGGATGCGTATCTTCGAGTTCCACGCACCACCAAAGGACTTCCTTTGTCTTTTCAATCTGTCCGCTCTCCTCGTAAGCTCTGGCCAGCGCGTACCATGCCTCCGAGTAGTCCCAGCCAGCGCCAAGTTTGGTGAGGGTTGAGAGCAGCCCAAAAGCACGATCACGCGCTGCAAGACGAGTCAACTCGGGCGGAGAGAGCTGATTCTCAGCGGAAGGGGTGTGCGAGGTAAGATATTGCGACTTTGTGATGGACGGACTGGTTTGAACGGAAGCGGCCGTGGTTGGCCGGGACGAAGATAGTGCTGCTGCAACATTGACCGGCTCCAGGGGTATTGCCTCATTGTAGATATCCAAAAGTATGTTTGATAAACCCACAATACCTTCAGGATGGTCGGGGAAATGTTGTAGAGCTCGTTCAAAGTCTGCGCGAGCCTCATGGGGCATTGATTGAGCAACGAGCAGCTCTCCGCGCTGATCGGAATTAGCAAATATTCTGGGGGAATGTGCTTCATAACTCACCGTAGCAAATACGTCGGCCCATAGCTCTTCCACACTCTTCCCACTGCCCCATCCCTTGTCTGCAAGTGCCTTTGCTGTGGCTGACTCTACAGATACCTCTGCCTCAAACGTCTCCACCAACTTTAATGCCTCTGCTACAGCTTCTCTTGCATCCTGGAACATGTGTGCCCTTGCATATAGCCGTGAGATGAAGATCCATATACTGACTAGTAATGAGACTTTTTGTCGACGCTCTTGGATCTTCGAAAAGTAAGGATCGGAAGGCACATAGTCTGCACGCGGGAGCGCAGAAGGCAAACGCATATCTTGCCTAGGGGGGTGGTCGTGCGCTAGCGGTGGAGTGGAATGTTCAAGATTATGAGGGATAGATCGTAGAGGTCTCTCTCCGTTCTCATTGGACTTTTTGGAAGCACTAGGTAGAGCAGAGCCATCAACCCCAGTTCCTGGCAGCGGTGGAACTTCTTGGGCTAGGTCAGTCTCTGGGATAGAGGCTTTGCCAAGACTAGCCGAACGTGAACGCCGCTTCTGCAATTTGCTGGCAGTTCGCGTAACACCAGCCTGTCCATCTTCATGCTTGTGATGAAAGAGATGTCGATAATGGGAATTGGGATCTGCCGCAGATTCATTGTTGGTTACTTGGATAGCTGGAGCCTGATCTGGCTGTGTGGTGGCTGTTTTCGCGCTGACAGCGGATGCGTTGCGAGCGGCGTTGTCTTGCTGTACCCTGACCGAGCCTCTCCCCCGAAAGATGCTCCCTCGCCCGGTACCAATGGCAGTTTTGGGTGGCGCCAAAGCTGCAACAGGAGTTGGCGGCTTGATCACATCTGCCGTTGGGTCGCCGAAAAGTCGACCATATAACGCCAGCAATTCATCGCATCCATCTACGGCTGCAGTGGCACCATCTGTGATCTCGAGAAGCGCCAACTGCGTCATCTTAATCTGCAAAATATTGCTCTTCTCAAAGCGCTCCATGCGATCTACGACGCCCGAGTCCGGGTTATCTTGGCCAACAGCATCGTTCAGATGCTCACTACGGTAGGCGCCTGAGTCACCAAGGCCGAACATAACGGTGGGATCGCCAAATTGCTCGAAAGCCGCTTCGCAAGCTCGCTCGGCCGCAGCGAAGTCAGATCGTGATGTCAGCAACAAAGCAAGAAGGTGCCATACTGGCATCAACTTGCGCTCTCGGCCAAACTCGCTGGTAATACCATCGGAAAGCACTCCGTCAGTACTGATTGCGGTACCTTTAGCGCCTGATGACAAGGCACGTTTGGCAATCTTGATTGCGCCTGGAATGTCTCGCACTTCTGCCAGCACCAATGCTAGAGCATAAAGAGCATCCACATTGTTTTCGTTGCCAAGCTGTGGTGAAAGCGCCTTACGAAGGTACTGTACAGCCTTGGTTTGGATGCTTGAACGTGTTTCAACATCATAAGTCAGCCTTGCCCAGTGAGCTTGGCTCACGCCGATAGCGCAGTATGCTGCTGCTAGAGCCGTGGGCTCGACCACTGGTTCTGCCGAGGCAACAGACGCGTCACCCTTTGCCGCACGACGGTGTTCTGCCTGTTCCAACCAGTGCTCGATACTGTGGCCAATCTCGAGCGCCTTTTCGGCTTCCTTCTTGGATCCCCAGCGGCAAAGCATCCTAATGGCTTCTGCTGACGTTCGCAAGACGGTGCCGTCATCGTCTATACCTGCTTCGGGTTCCCCACTCTTTTCAGCTCGGTCCTTGTTCCGTTGGATGATCTCTACGTAAGCATCGTAGGCTTTGTACGCCAACTCAGGCTCGGCGAGCGATGCGTGGACGACGAACAAGTTGCGCAGTATTTGGGTAGAGTGATATGTCTTGGTGGCTGCTCGGTAGAGAATCTGAACAGTGTTAGTACCGATGAGGAAAATTGTTCGTTGAATACTCACATCTAATACACCTCGAGCAACGCCCTCCTTGCCTCCTTCACCAAGATCCTCGTCGGACCACGTTGGGCCACAGAGGAGGCGCCAGTTGTCCATGACAGAGTCCACCCATGATTCAACTTCGTGATTGGTTTCACTGGCCTTGGGAAACTTTGTCTCCTTGATCAGAAGATTTTCATAGATAGTTTCTACTCGCTTGAGTTCTGCTCGTTGCCGCAATCGTATGTCAGAGCGAGGGTTTGAAGAAGGCTTCTCTGCGATGACGGGCGTAGAGTCAGGCTCGTACGGAAGGTTTCGACGCAGGATAACGGAGAGCGAGTCGTAGTATGCTTTCCATGCCAGTCGTCGGTGCTGTGCCGAATCGGCTATGTCGGTTGTATTGTTCTTGGACGAGGCATCCCAGAACTTGGCCCAGTACCGGTAGGTTCGTAGGGCATCGAAGGCGGTGACGTTTTCGCCAGTGCTTGTAGACTGGTCGGACAGCTGGCAGAGTCGGACAATGGAATGTTCACCCCACATGTGGAATTGGGCAGATTCGGTGCTGGGTGTAATGGCGCTGGACAGCCATGGCATTATAGACGAGTAGGCTGTGACTGCCTCGCCGACTGCGCCTGTCTTTTCAAGGGCGGAACCTGTACCACGTCAGACCCTGGGTTTGCTTTTGGGAAGGAAAGGTTTTGCGTGTACCTCTAATGTATGAGCCCTTTACCAAGCAGACCCGGGACCATCCATGTAGCGAGCCTCCTGCCTCGCCCGACAGCTCTGTTGCAACGACTCCAAAGTCCTTTGGAAGTCGTGATACAGCCTGAGCATGCTCATCAAGTACGTAGTGCGTCCATGCAATACACACGGTGGCCTGGAAGACATCTTGGTCGTGGCTGCTGTCTTCATCGATGGCGGCAAGCAGGGAGGGGACAATCTGCGACAGCCCAGCGGAAGCGGTCGAGGAGGCAGTCGAGGGGCGCTGGGTACTATAGGCGGCTATCTGTGTTTCGGAGCGGGCTGTAGTGGTGAGGCCTTGATCCGACGTTAACCCTCAGTCATAGCATGTAAAGGGAACAGGATTTGCTGACACTTCCGGTGCGGTGCGTGTTTCTCTACCTTCCTGCACAGCTCAGGCACATCGGCCCATCGTCCAGCACATCTGGCCTCGTCCAATTGCTGGATGTAGCGCTTCGCTTTCTCGTTCTCAGGGGCGTTCTGTGCTGGTGTAAGCTATGGGCGCAGAGAAATGACGTTGCGCTGGAAGTGGCTGCTCCCTGGACGCACAAAGCAATATGGCGGGCAACATACCACCATGATGTTAAAGATACGCCTTTGGCACTACGCAAAGTCGCGATACATGCACAGTCATGTTCGAGTAGCAATATTCCTTGCGACCGCAGCGGCCATGGCCATCCACATGTCACAGACCGACTGCAGCTCTGGTCCCACCCAGCCGGATTAGTCCCCCCATCCCTGTCGCCTTAGCGCTTCACGGGCCGACGCGACCGCCGAGGTCCAAACTTTTTTGTTGCCAGTGAATTGACTGGCATACTATTCTAACTTTTCAACAGTCCAGCTCAAAAGAGACGAGCTGGATTGATTTATACCGTCACAGCAAACAGAGCGCTCGACATGGCACCCCTTGCTGCAGAACTCGCGACGCTGCGAGCGCTCAGCTTCCGCATCTCATCTACACCAACTTCGCAACTTCCCCAGCACGTGCCCGCAATAGCTGCATCCTTGGCCTCGTGCAGGACTATTCTTTCGTCGCCCCAGGCTTCAGGCACCAAGGCCACTTCCTCCGAATACTCTGTCGCTGTTCACAAATACCGCACTCTCCTGTCTACTCTTCTTCAAGATCGCACTCCTCACGGAAGATGGTGCGCCATTGTCTTGATCAAAGCAACCATCGAAGTCGGAGGTTGGGAAACTTTGCAAAAGAGCCTGCCCTGGGTTCGCGGTCTCTTGGGATTCCTCAACAAGCCAGACCCACCATCCTCGAAGAAACTGTGCATCATCACTCTGACACGCATCTTTTTTCTAACGAGGGAATATCCGACGCTGGTTCGCGAAATCACCACCCCATCCCTAACACCTTTCGTACAAGCAGGACTACAGATAGCCAACACGGCCAATGTACCGGATGCTTTGTTGTTGACAGTTCTGGAGAGTTTTAGCCAACTGTTACCCCGACATCCCACAGTCTTTCGATCATACCTCAAGCAGCTCCACCCACTCCTAGCACGCTTGATTGCGCCCACACCGTCCACCAAGCTGAGTCAAGAAGAAAATTCTGGACTCAGATATGGGGTTGCATCTGATGTTGCTGCCGCTGCGCGCCAACTCTACGCGCAATTACCTCATTGCGCACCAAAGGGCACTTCTGGTGAAGATTGGACAAAATCTGTCAAAAGTGTGGTCAACAGCGCCCACCAAACTGCAGATCATGTCTTCCGTGCGGTAGTGGAAGATTGGCAATCTGCTTCCCGTGAAGCACCCTTGGCGAATGGCCATACCATCAATGATGAGACCCAGGATCTGGAGCCAAGCTCAGGTCTTCCACCTTGGTCGGGCATTTTTGCTGGCGGCGAACGACTGTTGGGACTCATGTACCTCCTGAAAGAGTACATAGAGAGTCCTACTTCAAGCACCGTCTATTTGGACGTCGGTTTGATCGTTGACTTGATCTCCAGGATGCTCTTCATCACTATCCCTGTATCGTCATCCAAAAACTTCCAAAACACTGTCCGCCTAAATGCGCAAGTCAGCAAAGAGGAGCGAGAAAACCTATGGCTGTTGATCCCGGAGGTGCATGTTGTTACGGTCGAAGTGCTTCTATCGCTAGCACAAAGGTCTCAGTCGAGTACAATTGCGTTGGACCCAATCATCATTGATCAACTTGTCTGGGTTTTCAATGCGGAGAGAGACACGGTCCAAGTCAGAACGGCATGTTACGTGGCAATATCAGCTCTCTTGAAGAGATCTGGAGTCGCGTTCCACAAGTCTACAGTTGACTCTCTCCTACCTCTTATCCGTTCCTGCTGCGATGACCTGCTTCCCTCAGCTATAACTACCAACGCAGCCAACAATATCCCCAGCCGTGCCAAGACAAATGGCAACGCTCAGCCACAGACTTCCGCAAACGCAGACGCTTTCCTAAGTGTCTCAAAAGAACCTAATAATTTCCTCGACGGCTATACAGGATTGTCACAAGCCGCCTACAATCTTCTACCTGTGCTGCTCTCGGCTATTCGTGCTCAACATTTATCCGACTCTATCCGAGCTCGCCTAGACCGCACTGCCGTTCTTACACAGCACAAGGAAGCCATGGTAGCTAGCGTGCTGAACCCTCCGCCAAGCAAGAAGTTTGGTAAGCCTGCAGCAAGCATTTTGCCACTCATGGCTCGGTCATTTTCTGCTGAAAAGGACGTTGAGGGCATGCTGCGGCCACGGATGCCAGTAATCCGCCTAGGTGGTCAAGACTTGGATACAGAAGAGGGTGAGGATGACATGGATGTTGAGGAAGAGGAAGAAGCGGAGAAGGATGAAGCTGAGCCACAAGCTCTAGAAGAAGTGGCTGATAGATTTGTAGAGGAGAATGCTGGTACCGCAGTGAAAGACTTCGCTATGACAGATGTTCTCCACACTGACGCACCCACACTCATCTCCTCCAGGCCGAATTCAGCATTCAAGAATTTAGGAAATGGGCTTTTGCCGGAAGCCCCAGTCTCTGGTGAAGCAAAGCGTCCAATCGGCAATGAAGGCCCTCATTCTCTTTCGAAGCGTACCAAAACGAACCAAGATGAGCCGCAGCCTACGCGCACCGCAGAGCCTGTTTCTACGGCTACCGCGCCTTCTGACGATACTCGTATCGATGCAACAGCATCAGCGACCTCAGACTTCACTGCTACCAAGACCGCCTCTGTGATTCCAGAGCTTCCTGATCCAGGTGAAGGTGACGATGACAGTGATAACGACAGTGATAACGACAGTGATAACGACAAGATATCACTAGTGCTGGGACAGGACACAGATGATGAATCGGATTGATAGTAATAGTAATCATACAAACCATGGCTCTAGCGCGTGCTTTGAATGTACAGTGAAAGTGTTGGCTGCAAACGCTTATGGTGCACAGACCCTGCCCGCTATCCATAGATTACAATACCACTTCTTGTACCAGCACTTTCCACCTGTCTAGACTGTTCCACTGATAGTTTGGATACCTACTCGATCTGCTGGATTTACGGGCCACATTACAACATCGCCACTATGCCAAAAGCCAGTCGTCCAGCTGTCACTTCAACAGCGTCCACTACAGCGAACTCCAGAAAAATGGCCAAAGTGGTCGTAAGACGCACACCCAGAAAAAGCGATACAGCTACTTCGTCAAGTTCATCTACAACGCCGCAACCGCTGCGCAAGTACCCATGGGATTCTCATCAAGACGACATAGTAGTGAACAGCGTCGAAACTCCGAACAAGACAGGACAACTCACTGGCGTAGAGCATTACCTCCAACAGCTATCTTTGAAGAAAGACTACAAGGACATTTGCACAGATTTCGACGAGTACCGCTGCAACGGGCTGAAAGCGACGGATGCGTGGGACCCTAGTGATGAGCAGCCAGAAGAAGAGCAAGAGCGATACGAGCACCTCACTAAACACTCATCCACAACTATCCCACGGCCACCGTCAGTGTATACCGAGTACGATCACCAAATCTATACATGCACGACGACCAACCCGGCCATCTGTCTCGCCATAGCACGCATCGCCCAGCACAACCTCCCCAACATAAACTTCCAGTCCGCGATCAACCACCTGCCCAACGTTCCCCCGGCAGGCCGGCTTCCCAAACTACAACCCGGCGTTTTGGCAGAAGACATACCCCACGAGCAGGATACTGAAAATGACGACGTCATTACCGTACTCTTCCTACCGCGCTTCTATCACGACGGCAGGCACGCACTGGGGTATTACACTGCCGATCCACCAACAAGCAACTCGGCGCAAGACGCCTGGAGGGCACGCCTGAAAGATGTACGACAGATGCTATTTACGCCGTGTGTAATTGAGGATCTGGAGGCGTACGGGATGATTAGGTATGCGGCTGTTTCCAGAGCCCAAGACGATATCGAGGCGGGCGATGCTTCCGTGCAGAGCATTGGTGCTAGGGGAGGGAGGTGGCTTCAGTTTGATAGTGTGGAGGATTGGGATGAGCGGAGAGTGGCGTTTCATATTGTGGAGATGCTTTGGGATAAGCGAATGGGGGTGACAACGGGGTTGGAGGAGTCGTCGTTGCTCTGAGGGGTGTCGGCGAGTAGGATGGCTTTTGGCATAGTGTTGGAACGGGTCCTTTCGAGCCAGGCGAGGCATTTGAGGAGATGCGTTGTGGTCCCAATCCACACGTATAGTGGTGCAGGTTTTGAATCTCTCCTTCTATTGATTCTCAGCAAGTATCAATAAACTTAATAATTAATATCCGAATTAACCTGTGTATCCCCATGAAAAAGTCGGCGATTGCTTGATTTTCTCGAGCCATGAGCGGACTCGGCTTTCACTACATATACATAGGAGCTAAATTGGCATCACTCACCGTGTCCTCTCCGGATGATGGGACACGACTGGCATGGTCCCTGCGTCTTTGTTGCACCTCAATATGATCTGCATGTGATAGGTGGGCAGAAATGTACCCGTCATCTCATTCACAATCTGCCAATGAGGACAAGACATACATCGTCAAGCGTGGTAGCGAATGCAATGTTTCAATTCAATGAGCATCGGGATCTTCTCAAATAGATACCAGACTCAGCAGTGCTGATTGTTGTTGGGAAGGGCACAATGACCCCTGAGCGGGCCTCTCGTGTGATAAATTTGTCCTCTGCATATCTGCGTACAAGCACTGTGTTGCTGCAACAAGAACCTCCACGGTACTTGGCCAGCAAACATTTGTGTGTCTCAAGTCGAACGCTGACCAATGCATGTTGCAGAGAACGATACCATAATAGGAACGTTCCGCCGCCACTTCAATCTTGCCGTATGAGAACCATGGGTCCTCTAAAGCTCTCACGTCCACCTCCGCTTACGACTGCACCCGAAACATCGACAATCACCAATGGCGCGAAGAAACCATTTCGATTTTTGGATCTCCCAAAGGATATACGCCTCATGATATACGAGGAGCTGGGCATGAAAACGTATCGAGACAAGTTTCCTCTATGGTATGACCAACATCATGTGACGCTCGTCAATACAGTCACCCCAGGTCTCTCGATTCTCGCAACCAGCCGTCAGGTCAGATCAGAAGCATCTGCAGTCATTCTACCACGTCTGGGATTGATATTGCGCTCGCCGCCAGTCGTTGTCGTCCGAGCTGAGCACCTCATCAGCCTAGTCGAACTACGTGACTGCTTCCGTACTTTCCCCGGTACCAAGTTCATGGAGAAACTCATGTTCTGCCTGCATGATCCGAGAGCATTACCCAGAATGATACGTTATCGAAGCGGAAAACTTTCGGCGAGGCAATTGCGGAGAAGACTTCACTTGATATCGCTCATCGCAGTGGACGACGAAGCAAGTCTGAAAGCGTTTGTGCGATTCGCTCTCCGCGCCATGAAATATATAGAGAGAAACACCGCCGAGACCCGTTCTCTATACCCGCCACTTACGCTCGTGGTCGAACTTCCAGATACCTTTCAAGGAACTCCCGTCACAACTTCAACCTCCTTGGTGAAATGTCTCTCGTATAAACTCTTTTCCCCGTTGATTCCCACTCCGCCGCGACTGGTGACAAATCACGCGGGCATCTTGTGGCTGCTTCGCCGTTTCGCTGCCCACATCTCCAAGGCGTGCGAGCTGTGGCGCATAGTTTCGCTTATTGTGAAAATGAGACTGCTAGAAGAAGGATATACCGGGTTGCGACTCAGTGGACGCAGCGTTCAAAAAGCGATTTTTCGTGGTTTGGAAGAAGCGAGGAGTAACATACCGGGTATAGTACGTTATGGGGGACGGGCTTCGAGGGTGACGGACGAGATATAAGAGCAACAATCATGCTGGTTTTGGATTATGCGGAAGACTAGCTCGGATATTATCATAGTGGTATAGGAGGCAGATGGGACACAGTATTGCAGCGCTGCGGGGGTAAGCTTCCAAGTTGGGGTCAGTCACGGGATCACTGTCTATGTGGAAGCTGCTCGCCAGTAGGTAGTTGCATCTAGGCAAGCAGACGTAACATTTAGGTCGTAATGAGCAAAAGTCTTTGTTTACGCACTTGCTTAAGGGGGTTGCCTCATTTTGCCAGAGCCATCTTTCTGCCACTACACTCGTCTTTCTTCCACCACAACCATCTTCTCTTCTTGAAATCCGGATCTTCTTTGCCATTCACATCTACTTAACAACTCGACTTATGAAAACTATCGAAACCACTTCAACGCAGGCTTTACAATCAAACCAACACTTTTCTTTTTATACACAAGCCCAATGGCTCCATTGAGGGTAAAGTCTGGGTACTGTATGCGTGCAACTACCACATGGACATGATCTGGGTGCCAGTCTGGCGTCAGGTCTGCGAGAACGGTGTCTTCACCATTGTTACTACCGCAACTACTATCCTCTTCAGGGACTAATTGATTGGCTCCGAGGACGCAACATCAAGCGACGATGACGAACTCCTCCATACGGCCGTATAGCTGGAAAGTTAGCATAGTAGTGACACATACATGGTTAGTGCGAGACGGCACTATCTTGTTCTAGAGTCGCTTTGAAAGATCTGCAAGCAAGTACTAGTAGGTCTTTCTAAAGCTACATTAAGACTCACGTCAGCAGTTACACGCTTTCAATACGATGTCGGAAATTCTCGACATATTCCGAAAGAAAGTTCTCCCCCTGGCCAAAGTGGCATCCAAATTCACGCCCGGAGTCCGAGAAGGATCTCGCACCCTGCCATGAGCAAAAGAAGCCGAGTTTCAACTTTGCATCGATGGCGGTCACTACAGTCCTGACGACTAATGGTACAGAATTCTAATCTTGCTTCAACGTTGGCCGTCTTTCCCGGTTAAGTATCACTAACTATGTTAAGTGTTTAATAGTATTTCTACACTGCGAGAAGATACTCAATGCCGTCTCAAGAACTAAAGGCGAAAGACGCCGAATTCCAAATGTGCATCGATGGCGGTCAATACAACCTCGACGACAAAAAAACTCAATATTGTGCCACAAATCAACAAAGAAGCCAAGCCGCCGCGGCTCATCTAACATCACACTAAGAATTCACAACAGAAAAGTTTGATAAGGGGGTAAAGTAGATGATGAGCAAGGGGAGTTGGGGAGAGTGTTGTGCCGGTGCACAGGGTTACTAGTAGCTCTTGGGCAGCCACTCTACTACTTAGTCCTGAGAGTATAAGACAGAAACTTTCGTGTATAGTAAATGACTATTCAATTCTGCGATTTCTAATTTATCAATTCTGTATCTCTGTAGCCAGTCTCTCATCTCGATAGCTACGCACACTAGCAGATATTGGTTGAGGGTAAGGAATACTCGTATCCTCGATAGTAGCACTCGTGGTTCAGCACCTCCTACAATCTTTCGGTACTAGAAGTTTTCTGCGAGCAAGGCAATGAGAAGCTTAATGGATGGAGTGATGGTCTCGAAAGGAATAGCTCATGTGGTATTTGTATTGGACTGCTGCCTTGTATCGAACAAAGCGGCTCGGCAAGGTATTCGGTGGGCCTAGCTCGTAGCCTTGGCTTTACTTAGTTCTACACGAAAGAGGTGGATCGAATCGAGCTCAGTAAGTGGTATTTACCAACACGACACTGCTGTGAGTGAAGTGATAGTCCGGAAGGAATGGCTTTAACTTCATTCATTCCTCTAGATTGCATGGCCAGATTGCTCTGAAATCATCTTCACTTTGAAGATGGTCATTATCATCCGGCTGATCAAACTTGAGGATCTTCTGTAATAAATCCCTAAAAGTCTCTTGATGTGCAACCTTGGTATCTTCCAGTCTTGTAGGGGGACCTAGCCGTCATTGGCGGGGTTCAGTAGGGATACATAAATACACGATAGCTTCTATGACGCTTCAAAACGCTTATAGTCCTTTTGGTGAACAGCTAGTTCATCAGGGAGGGGTGGCGAAAATGGACACTGCGACGCAAACCCAGGATCTTCACAAAAGACGACAGCCCCGTCTTCCAGGTGAGATGACAGTATTGAAATGGTCGGAAATACTATTGTTCCATTGATCTCGCTGTGGAGAAATCCGCGGTGAATATCCTCAAGCATATGTGGTAGGCTTTAACATGTACTGAGATCAAAGGGTTCGGATTGAGGATGTCAGAAAGGTTAGGAGGAGGATGCGTATAGTCTGGAAACTGGTCCGCATACCAGAATGCCGGCTCAATGCTGGTAGACTGCTAATCTATAATGGCTGACACAATGGTTGGATCATCTTGTCACACAAATATGTTTCTTTTGTCCGGGCCGGGATGAAACATAGCAGGGCCGGCAGGACTTTGAATTTGAGGGCTTTTGCACATTTCCTTCAAAATTGCGCGACCCTGTTTGAGTAGGTTTTTTGTGTGCCTCAATGGACCCTTGGTAATGTGGGAGTTTCACAGCAGGTGCAGGAGGCGGTGTTCTCGAAATTCCGGAGTCGATGAGACCGTCCGCACAATCGGCCGAATCTATCACCGTACACTATGGTGAGATGTTTACAGTCATCAAAAGATATGGGCTGACTTATAAGGTCCTTAATTTGGGTTAACATGGTGATAGAATTTTAGGTGAGTAGGCATACGATTCCAGTACGTGTGCCCACAATGTGAGTCGATACAAAGAACTCTTTACCAAATGGGAGCTTTGACGGAGGAAGATACGGTGTTGCAGCAAATTACAGAATGCCATATGCTGGAAATCTGATGTTGGCCATCTCTGTGAGCTTTTTGGCGATCAGTGCTACGCGTCTGACTTGTTTGTCGAAATCCACAGTTGGTCCTGAAAAGTTTATACTTGTCATTTTGTGCTTACGACAGCTGAAGGTGCGTGTCTTGGACTGTCATCGAAGAGAATTGGGTAGCTTTGCGGGGCCAACTGAGGCGGTGGACATGGTCGAGAAGGAAAGAGTAAGTATACTGACCCACAAAATGAGGGGGAAAGGGCGGCCCGTGCAACGTTAGCGTGCCCTTGGCGTCGACCCTGCTTTTGCACACGTCCCACGGTATTCCTCGATCCTGAGTCCCTGATACCTTTTCCAATCCACTATGCAATGCAGCGAACCCATCCAGTAGTGTGGCGATTGGCGAGTTACTTACTATCACGCCGGTCCTCAAAGCGCTACCTAGGGCCTCCAATGCACCACGGTGCCGTTGCTTTTTACTCGACAGCTGATGACCCCGCACTCGAGGCCTGCGTCGATACCCACAGCTACAATGGTACAAGGACACATCGCGAATCGCAAACAGCGCACCAGCCCCACCCTTGATGCACGTTGCAATCACGCCACTATGCTCAAGCCACTCACACATAGCCACGGGGCGCACACCGGGGCCCCTGCATAGCTGAGGGATATCTATCTACTTATGTCAGATACTCGGCGCCGTTACATCTGGCCATCAGTGACTATGTTGTATCACGGTCTCGGTCAAGATCGCGTTGTTAGGCTTTGTTTGGTTGTACGACGTGAACAATGGCAGTATCCAAGCCGGATGACGGCAATGTGTCCGGTGAAGGCATGGTTATGCCACGTGTGACGAGGCAGTCAAGACCGATCCGCCTCCTCCGACAAATGTTCAACAAGTGGGGTCTAGTGGGGATTATGCGGTTTGGGTCGGCTTGGCTACGTGAGCCTCTTTTACTCCAGTGCTAAGGTAACTGTCGGACTAAACCTTCGCCACTTGTGTTCGTCGTCTACTATAAAGCCCAACATCTCCTTGCTATCTGTCCACTTTTTCTTCAACATCCGTCAAGTTTGAGCAACCCCGCACTCAAGACAAATTCCCCAAAAGCTCTCTTTCATCATGACTTTCTATCACACTGCCGAGAACATCCGTATTGAAGACGGCCACATCCTCAGGGCTCGTCTCCAAAGGGCTGACGGCGAATGGAACGACTCCGAGATCGACCTCAACTCGTGTATCGGCAATGACAATGGTAATTTGCTTCTGACGTCTAATTTGGCCTCGCTGACACTTTCAAGGTCACTTCATTTGGGACGGCGAGGGCTTTGCCGGTTCAGCAAGTAACATTCATTTTGCCTTAGAAGGTGATGGTGACGTTCCCGTTCTCCGCGCCAACTTGAGGGATGTCGATGGCAACGAAGAGAGCCGTGACATCAACCTGGGTGAGCGTATCACCAACGAAGATGGCAACTTTCGATTCAGTTAGTATCTCCAGCGCCCTCTGCAATAAACCCAAAAGCAGAGTGCTAACATATTTGCTAGGCTAAGCTAGCTTCAATGGCCATTTATATAAATAACAATGCATTATGATTTCACAAAATGTGCAAGAATATGCTCATCTAACACTCACTTCTGTGATGCACATCAAGCTTCTTGCTACTATACACTGCGGCTAGAAAGAGCGTTGTCATTGTAGTCATCAACAAGGTCTTCAAGGTACAACACGCGTAGGTTGATTGAACAGTGATATGGAGACACTAGTAGGTACGCGTGCATGTGTGGCTGTGCAACCTCAACACGACACTACTGGCGCCTATAGCCAATAGGTCTTATTTCGGACGTACTTTAGGTCTTACCCATAGCCCCTGCCAGCCCCTCGCACATTTCCCATCGCTTTTCCAGATAGATACAAGGCGGTTTCTTAGCGCTTATAGTTAATCCATGAGAGTTGTCATACCCAAGCAAATGATGTACATGCGTTATGAGCAACCCACGAATCTCCTAATAGCTTCTGTTAGTACACCCTCTCATTGCGCATTGGGCAATACAGTTTCTCAGGAGTGGTGAGCGCACAATATCCAATCTAATACCATATCAAGAAATGTATCAGTATGAAACTGACATGTACTCCTCTTTGCACTTGCTGTATTCTCACATCCGACGCATGAAAGTTTTGGCTGAACAGAGAAATTTGAGAGTACAGAATTTAACTGGTACGTGGTTATATGAAGATGCTAGCGGTAGAAACTTGCATGCTGTGATAGAGCAATATGTGGCCCGCTCGCAAATTTCTCCCTCGGTCAGTTTGAATGTCTTCGAAATGAACACATCGCGAAGCTAAGGGCCAAGAATCTACAGAGTAGACATGGATTTTTACGTTCTGTGCGCCGATAACGTTTTTGATTTTACAATTCGTAACCGTTAAACACTACGGCCCCGGTTGATGCGATTGCAGAGAAGTAGTACTTACCAAATCACGGTCCAGTCAAGTCCTTTGTGCACGTTTGTTTGGCAATCTTCGGGTCTATGCAGTACTTGGAGGTGTTGTGTACTTATCTTTTTGCGATATCGTTAAATACAACCGGCCGAATACGATTAGGCTATCCTACTCAAGTAGCAAGATAGGCTGATTTAGTGCGACACTAAAACTCAACACTACTGCAAACAAAGGGGTAAAGCCTCCGGGATTAGCCCACGATATTCACCCGGGATATTCACCGGTTCTCGAATAAGGTTCCATAAATTTGGATAGGTATATAAGTCGACCATTATCGCGTCACGCTACTAATAAAGAATTAACCAACAGTATTCCAAGTCAACCCAATAATCCCAGCAAACATGCAGCTCACTAGCATCACCGCCGTTCTCTCTGTACTCTCTGTAGCAGCCGCACAGGTCGGCAATTGGGTACGTTTTCCCATATAGTGTCTAGCAATTGACGCTAACAGCTCTAGAACTGTTACGGCCCAAACAGTAAAATTGGAGCTGAAATCCGAAAAATCAACCCGCTATTCGAATACGGAGCATGCCTCAACGATAAGACAAATGCAGTGCAGAGATGCAATAAAGTAAGGAGCAACTATACGAAAAACTTAGCGGAAAGATACTAAATACGTGATTAGAGCAATCCATGCAAGAAGGATTATAATGGTATAGTAGTCATTATGCAATATACAAAAAACGACTATGCTAATAAGTGAAATAGGCTGTTACGCATTCTCTGATGGAGTCACGGCTAACTGCTCCTAAAATACTGGTTCATAGGATTATGAGCGTTTTCCAGGTTGTGTCGTGCCGAAGCGTAGCTTAAGGGTAAAAGTTGGATATTGATAACGGTAGATGGAGCAGCTCTTTCTAAAAAAATAATGATAAAATCGCCTACATATCTACCGCGACCTACCTTCCTCCGACTGTGTGCAGATTTACTTGGGGTGACATCTCAAGACTAGCACAGTTACTAATGATCGTCGCAAGATCTAGTAGCATATAATTACTGCGATCTAGTCGTAGAATAGTGTATTCGTGGCAGATCGTCCGTGTGGTACGTATTGGCTGCATGTCATCGGTCCCTTGTTGCAAAACTACTGCCGATTGACTCTTCCAATTTCCTGTCTTGGGACTGATGTAAGCGGCTGCGGTAAAGTGGCAAGGGTCGTCATGTTATCGGCTGAGGAGAAGCTCGTTACTAATAACTTACCTATCACTGCTTCCCCTAACGGCATATGGAACACTAGTAAGGGGGTGATACAGACTAGGGTAGAGTGTAAGCGCTATACTGTATATGGTGTGACTTCTTTTTAGATTGCTAACAACAGCCTATTAGTATCTCCTTTTGCTTAAATCTGGTATAAAGTTATCCGGACAAAAGCCCAATTGTAATTTCCAGCGTCTTCATGTACAAAACTTTTGCCGGTAACCGCTGGTCATCCGAATGGGTGATGCATGGCCGGTAAAGCGCTCGTGAATGCTCGCACTGCATTTATGAATAGTGACAGAGCAGCCAATATGCCAACGCTGTGGATAGACAGGCCAACGAGATCCCAGGCCCGCCTCACCAGCACCAACGGCACGATGCCGCGCATACCGCTTCTATCAACCCAGTGAATCCCCGCTCCCATCGTGGGAGGATATATTCAGACAACCACATCAGTCGGCGGGGCCTGTCTGCAGAGGAGCCAGCGGCGAACAGTAAATACGTAGAAATCATTTCCGCTATTGTCTCTCCTGTCTCCGAACACGATTATGCATTCCTTATCACAAAGGCATTGTCCGGTTACTCTAACGCTCCAGTGTCAAATGCCACATCAAACTCCGTGAAGATATCAAAGGAATCAGATCAGCAGGAAATCTAGCGTCTGGCAGGAGTAATCAACTAATGAGGCAGCGGTCACTCGAATGTGATTCAGTTGTTACTGAACAACAACGCTGAGATCAAGAATCGCGGAGGTGGGTTAGGCATGAGAAATCGACCTTTGCTAAGGCACGGCCCAACCTATCAAGCAAGAATGACCACGCACGCTGGAAAATCTAGAAAACTGAAATCAAAAGACATTTACCATCCTGATGGCTTGAAAAAAAGTTCTATCTGCGCCCAGCCGAGACTGCGGGTGCACTTTGTACTTGTTGAACCATTTGGGTGGCAATGCTGATTACGATGACGGGGACAGTGAGGTTGTTAAGGATAGTGAACGGGATAATGATAGCGAGAAATTTGGTGACAGCAGCGAAGAAAGAAAAGTAAGGAAGGTTGTGGTAACGATAAAGAGAGGCATAGTGAAGACGATAACAATTATGAGAAGGGGCATGACGATGATAACGGAGACGACGACAAGAAAGAAGTCGATGATGATGACAAAAATTGTAGCAAGCGCCAACAACCTAAACCTCACCACTAAACACAATCTCTCTGCCAGACAAATTACTCAGTCTACTGGGGCGATGGGCTATCAAGCAACATTGTAGTGTATCAATTCTCGCGTGGGCGCTCAGACATCACAAAAATTAGAGTGGCTACCATCACAGTCATTCATAATTCTTAACGCGCTTGTTTGTACCTATTAAAGACAAAGCATTGTAGCCACTATCAAATCCAAACGTCATAGCTCAACTCTAACCTTCCGGTAAGTTTTCAGCTGCACAGGTCCAACAAGTCCAAACTCATGCCAGTCCTGGCTCGTATAGACAGTCTTATTCGTCGGGGCACCTCCAATACTCAAGACACTGTCAATGTTTACTTTGACAGCGTTGAACAGGGATGATGTCACTTCCACCTTTATGACGTTGTTGCCATTCTTAACCAGCTTGGAAACTTCAACAACAGGATTCGTCGGGTCGATGGCGGGGACTTGTTTGCCATTTAGCCACGCCTTGATGGTGTGGAGAATAGGGCCGAAGTCTAGCGTGATGGACGTGGAGCTGTCGGTTGAGATGTTGAAGTTCATGTTGTAGGTTCCGATGCCACTGACATGTTCGATACCTGGGATCTTCGTCCATGGTGCTAGTTGAGAAAGTGTGCCTACGTTGATCGTGGTGATGTTAGGGTCGACTGTAGCACGGTCGAGGATAGGCCCATAAGCTTGGACTGTAAGATTCCAGTGACCCAGGGTAGTAGCTGCTGGGCTTTGCGCGTTGGCTTTGGGAAGCGTGATGTGCTTGCCGTTGCTCAAGGACAACGACGCTGATGAGCTGTCGGAGATCAATGCCTCCAAGTAGTTGTCTTCTGTGAAATGGACGTTTTTCACATTAGAAGAATGACTGACTACGTTCTTTCCTGCTTGTGCTGGCGCAACAGCTTTGAATGCAACTATAGTTGTTTGATGGGTTTGTAGCGGGATGCTCAGATGGACGCCAGAAGAGCTTCTCTGAAAAGCTGCCGATGAGATCTGAGAACCAGTCCATGAATCCAAAATTTGGGGCACCAGATTCTTCTCGACATCAAATGTGATGTTGAACACTCCATCTGCTCCTTGGTTGTATAGATAGACATACTCGGCGTGCGACGTGGCGTCAGTCGTCCAAAAAGTGAAGAGGTCCGACGAATTGGTAGTACCCTCCACTCGAGTGCGAGCATGTACCCCATCTGCAGCAATTTTCGATGTGGAAAAGTCCTTGGTATCGAAAACGCGCACGTTCTTGTTTTGTAGTAGCTCATTGATATTTGCCGAGACCTCTTCTTGTCCGATAGATCCAACTGTGATGTTTGGAATTGTACCCACGATGTAAATAGGCAGTCCATTTTGTGCGAACTCCAGCAACGCTGCAGATGCATCCGGCGAGATGTGTGTCTGGTTGTGAATGAGGAGAGCCTTGTAAGCTGGTCCCTCGGGAGCAAGAACACCATCAACAACAACAGCTTGCTCAGAAACCAAATTCTTTGGCCCCAAGTACTCGTATGTATAACCTTTGATGTGTTAGTCCTGCCTTGTGATTGTTGAGTTGTTCATCTTACCGTTTGCGTTTGCGTCAGCTGTTGAATAAAGCTGTGCAAAGTCGTAGGGAATCTCATAGTAGTACAGAGCGAGGTCCACCTTGGGCGTACCGGATTGCATTATCAAGCTATTCCTCGCTGAATATGTGAACAGGTCATCAAGATGCGACCATGCTGGTTGCCTTTGATTCCACATTTCAGTGTACGCATATTGAAAAGGCGTGTATCCGGGCCATGTAGTCCCGACATATTCACCACTGTATGCATAGCCATGGACAACCATCGTGTTAACCCCTGTTGCGTAAGATTTGTCAAAAAGATTTTTCAGTTTGGGGACACGAAGGACGTATGCTGCTCCATTGATTGCGCCGATTTCAGTGGAGATAACATTTCGACCAGATAGATGAGCCGGGCCTACGAACTGCCGGTAGAGATCTATGTCGTCCTTAAACCCAAGGGACTCGAGTTCAGGTACTTGCACATGTGGTATAGCTTCTGCCTATTAATCGTCAGAGCCCGTTTCTATTGGGTGAAGAGGACTGTGCAGCGATGACATGCCAAATTGACTTACCATGTCAACAGGTTGGTTATAACCAGGCTGATTGGACAACTGGATCCCCTTGCTTGATGCCCATTTGGCATAGTGGTCAATGTGTTCTGTGTAGCCTTCGCTAAGAGCAACCTTGTAATCTTGAACATATGGGCCACCGTCCGTGAAATAGTCGCCAACCGTGTAGGTTATGTTGTAAGCGCCCCACAATGCATCCCACGAGTTCGTCGTGTGGAATAGAACTGGAAGGTACTTGTTGATACTATATCCGTGAATTCGCTCAAAACGCGAGGGAAGATCTGGTGTCCATGGAAGAGCGGCTTGGATCTCCATACTATCCTCCCACGCTTGGGAAAATGTCAGCGTATGTGTAAAGGTTAATTGCTGCAACACTCACCGTAGCTGGTGACTGTTTGAATGAGTCTAGATATTTCAGGGACGGACAGAATGTGCTGATCCCAAAAGTCTGTCGTCTTCTTTGCGCCGCTTGCACTCCAATGATCTACGATCCAAGAACCATTGCCCAGTGCAGTTGTGGCATTCTTAACTGATACGCAGCTTCGCTGGTTTGTATAACGCTCATACATGGCGAATAGGATCCATGTTCCGTTACCATTTGGAGCTGTCCATGTCAAAGCGCCGTTGTTCGTGACGTTAGTCAACTCAACTAAAGAGTCATGATCCAAAACCGTATAGGGAAGCTTGGAATATGGACCGTCCGCGAGATTACCTTCTGAGACAATTCTTCCAGCAACGACAGCCAGCAACTCGTTTGAACCCCACGGCTCTGGTGGGTTCATGAAGCCCGGAAGGAAGTTATAGTCAACGACAGGCTTGGGAACCTCACCAGAGAAAGTGACTCCTGATTTAATCTGGGTACTCCCGTACACAAGCGTCTTGGCTAAGCCGGGACTCTCAACCTCTGACGGCACTCCGGCGCCTTGGTTGGGACCGAAGGCAAAATCAAAGGCTAGCTGAAGCGTTGACGCGGTATCCAGGGCTGCCTGGAACAGTTTGTTGAAAGCGTCTGTACCAAATCCATATATAGACCAGTCGGTCAACGCAGGTCCCAATCCATAGTTGTAGAAAGGGAGGAACTCAAGACCACCACCTCCCACAGCGGCAATTTGACGGATATCGTTTTGAATGGATTCATGTGTAACGGATGCGTCAGGGAACCTATCGCCATGAGTAAAGTAAATAGGCAGCGGGGCTATCGGGCGATACACACCAGTATCGGAACTTAGGGCGGTATTTGTTTGGAGGGTTGCTGAATTGGGCAGTGACATTACTTGACGTAATGCTATGGACGGAAAGCCCTTGAGCTATAGGTAACAACAACGTGGAAATGAGCACTGGCTTCATTTTGCACGACAGGAGAGGAGGTAGTGCTCTGTCGCTGTGTTGTCGTCGAATATCGAGATATTTAAATGGTACTTTCGGAGACATGGCAATGACTTACTACCACGTGCCAGACCGGTCCCCGCATTTGATCCACATTGTATTCATTTATAAACTGTTATGCACAGTGTCGAGGCTAGAAGCCGATTGTGCAAGCGAGTGTATAAGTTAGGGAGCGAGTGTATAA